GACAGGGTCTGTCCCAAGCTGGCCTGGAACTCACTATGTAGACCAGGCTGGCCTTGAACTCACAGAGATCCACCTGCTTCTGCCTCCCGAGTGCTGGGATTAAAGGCGTGTGCCACCAGGCCCGGCCATTTTGCATTTCTTTAAAAAAATATTTTATTTATTATCATTTTTTAAATTTTATATGTATGACTGTATTGCCTGCATGTATGTAAGTGCATCTGTGCCTTGCAATGCCTGCAGAGGTCAAAAGAGGGTGTTGGATTCCCTGGAACTAGAGTTACAGAGGGTTGTTAGCTGCCATGTGGGTGCTGGGAATTGAACCCAGGTCCTCTGCAAGAACAGACAATGCTCTTAACCACTGAGCCATCTCTCCAGCCCTCAACATTTTGCAGTTCTTTCTGCCTCACTTGTTATAGACCTGCATAAGCATTAGCAGTAATAATGAATCCACAGACTCAATATTATGTTGTCTTGACATTTCCTCTGACAAAAAAATTAACTTTAGTTTTAGGCAAGTTCTTAAGACAAGGGTAGAAAACGGCCAGATAATTTGTCCTTGCTTTCCTCTGAAACCTTTAGAACTATTCCTTTATAGTCCACATTACTCTCAACAACACAATCTTCCAGGCTCCTACTAGAATGCCCCACTAAGTTCTGTATACAGCATACAACTGCTTTTATAGTCCAAAATTCTAGTCTTCCACATTCCTCCAACATGGTCAGGTCCTTAACAGTAACACCTCATTCTCAGTACCAACTTTTGTATTAGTTAATTTTTTCCAGAACACCACAATCAAAAGCAAATTATGAAAGAAGGAGTTTATTTTGGCTTATGGTTCTAGTGAGGAAATCCATAATGGATGGAGAGGTATGGCAGCAGGTGGTCACAGCAGGAAGCTGAGACCTCACACCTTTAACCAAAACATGAAGCAAACTGAAAGAGCAAATTAACACATATCCAAACACAAGAGGTACACACATAGAATGCCAAATAGACATGACCAGAGAAATTCCCCATGACACGTCACAGTCGGGGTGTCAAAAATACAGAGTGGAGAAAGGATACAAGCAGCACGAGAAAAGCCCCAATGGCAGAAATGTCAGAATTACCTCAGACTTTTCCAGCAACCAGAAAAGCCTGGGGATGAGATATTTCAAGTTCTGGAAGTAGGTAACTGTGAACCAAGAATGCTATGTCCAGCAAGGTTACTTTTCAAAATTAATTGAGAAATAAAAATATTTCATAACAAATCAAATGAAGGCAATTCATGACTACCAAATCAGCACTGCAGAAAAATTTTAAAGTAATATTACACAAGGAGAAAGAAGAAATATATCTTCATCCTCAAGAACACACAAAAGTGTACACTTGATGAAAGGACCAGGTAACCGAGCAGATCTGGAAAAGAAACAACCACATCTAACACAACATACCCGCAAACTCCTAAAACTGAGGGAATGAAAAGAAATACCAATAATCCAGCAAAACAAAACATTACCTAACAAATTTACAGGAAATAGCAAACTCTTTTCTATAATAACCTTAAATGTAAATGGCCTCAACTCACCACTAAAAAGACACAGACTAATGGACCGGATTAAAAACAAGAACCATCTATATGCTTTTTCCAAGAAACACAATTAAAGATATCAAAAACAAACAAAGATATAAAAAAAGTTCAGTATCAAAGGATGAGAAACTACCATGCAAATGGAAACCATAAACAAGCAGGTACAGCTATCCTTATAACAGACTAAGTAGATTTCAAACTAAAACTAATTAGAAGAGATGATGAGGGACAGTACCTATTAATAAAGGAACAATTCAACAAGGAATAACAATTTCTAAACATTTATGAACTGAATACTGAAGCTGCTTATTTCATAAAAGCAAACACTAGAAGACATAAAAGGCTACAGAGGTCCTGGTATGCAGTAACAGTGTGGCAATTCAATACCCCACAATCATACTCAGATGAGACTGGGCATGTTCAGGGTGGTCTGGCTATAGACCCACTCTCATATTTAGATAGGTCTACCAAACACAAATAATGAAATTTCAGAGCTAAAATGTACTATGGATCAACTGAACTTAACAGGTATATACTGAATATTTCACTTTTTTCTCAACAGCACACGGAATCTTTTCCAAAACTGGTATCATAGGACACAAATCAAATCTCAACAAATACAGAAACAAAACAAAACAAAACAAAATCCTGAAATAATTCCTTGAATCCTCTCAGACCACACTGGAATAATAGTAGAAATCCGTAAGAGAAACTAGAAAAACTACAAAAATACACGGAGACCAAGCAATTCATTTTTAAATGACTGGTGAGTCATCCAAGAAATCAGAGGAAATCTAAAAAGACCTGGAGTTGAGTCTATCTAGCTGCTAGCTTGGCAGTCACCTTGTCTAGTCTGCCACTCCAGGAAGCAGTTTGACCCAGAACCACAGGTAGGGACCCCTAGATCCAGTCCACCTATCCAACAGCCACCTTACCCACAGCTCAGCCTGGAGATCATGTGGCATCCAGTTCATCCCAGGTACAGACACCCAGAATGAGCCCACCACCCCATCTACCAAAACACTCCTGAACTATGTGTGTCTGATGTTTCTGATCCCAAGTAAGGACTCCTATCCACTTTCATCTGAGGATGGTTTGGTGTCCTACACCCCACCCCCACTGAGTGACACCTATTTACACTGTGACCCTGGCCCCTGCCATGCAACGACCATCAACAGAACCTGGTCAGCCCTCTACTTATGCCAGAAGATCAATAGCAAGTGTCTTCTCAGTTCACAGAGTTTGCTCCTAGGCCCAGAAGCTGTAGCACCTATCCCTAGCTGAACTGAGAACACCTTTAAAACCTCATTCAAACATCAACACAGAATGACCCCAAGACTGAACACCAAGCATCACTAGGCTGGTCTAGAACCTGACATGTTGGGTAAGAGCAAACAAAGATCCAAATGTTCATTCAACAAAGGCAAGATAAGCTATCCATACCAAAAAAACACCACCAAAGATTTAACTCCAGATGCCTGGTCCCATCACAAAAATGCAAACATGAATAACCAAGACAGTATATCTTCCCCAGAAACCAGCACTCCCACTGCAATGTTTCCTGAGAAAAGCACCTCAGTTGATGCATAAGACAATGACTTCACAATAGCGATTATAGCCAGGTGTGGTAGCACAGGCCTTTAATACCAGCACGTCAGAGGCAGAAGAGTACAGATTTCTGTGAGATCAAGGGTAGCCTGGCCTACACAGTGAGTTTTTATGTCAGCTGGGGCTACAGAGAGACCACGTTTCAATGCCCCCCGTAAAAAACAACAAACAAAAACCAAAACAACCCCCCAAACCCAAACATCCCCCCAAATTCAAGTAATTCAATGACAACATGAATAAAATAAGTAAAACAATTCCAGATATGAAATTAGAAACACACATAGAGAATATCTGAAGAAAAGACAAATTGAAATAAAATTCATAATGAAAAACTCAGAAAGCCACACAAAAAGTTTAGGGGAGAGTTTCACCAACAGACTGGATCAACTGGAAAGGAGAATATCCGGTCTCGAGGACAGGGTAGAGGAAATAGAAATGTTAATATAAATTACCCAGGAAAAGAACATCCAACAGCTCTGGGACTCTATAAAAAGATCAAACCTATATATCACAGGTATAGGAGAAGAAACCCAGGCCAAAGGTAAAGAAAATATTTTCAACAAAAAGATAGAAAAAAGCTCCCCAAATCTAAGTAAAAAGATGCCACCTATGAAGGTTCAAGAGGCATAAAGAACACCAAATAGCACTAGAAAAAGAAACTCCCCATGTCGCATAACCTTCAAAACGCTAAATGTATAGAACCAAGAAAAGATAGGACCTGAACCCATGTCCTACAAACCATGAAAGAACACAGATGCCAGCCAGACTATGGTATCCAGCAGAATTATCAGCTGTGATTGAAGGAGAACGAAAAGTTTTCTATAATAAAAACAAACTTCAAGACTTTATGTGCACTAAGGTGGCTCTACAGAGAATACTAGAAGGAACACTGTGGTCTGAAGAGGATTAACACACCCAAGAGGCACAAGGAATAAATGAACTGAACACAGTACTTGATTTAGTGCAACAGTTCAACTTATCAATAAATTCTGAAGAAACAAGCAAAATAATGAATGGATTTTTAAAGATGAAGGTAGGGTTTATGTGTACATATCTGAAAGATGGAGGGTGAGTTGATAAAGAAATGAAATACTTAATGTAATTTAGAAAAACTAAGAATTAAGACTTCCAATGAAAAGAAACATTACGCTGTGCATCATACAAATGAATATTCATGAAACAATGAGAGTAATTTAATTTTCCATTTTGAATTGGAAGATATGTTAACTGACCTCTCAAAGTGTCATGATTATGGTACAAGAGTGTTGGCTGAGAATACTGGAGTTTCGGTTTTATTAGTTTGCATTAGGTAAACACCACTAGAGCATATCTCACAGCTCGGGTGCCCACAGACGTCATTCACCATTTTAGATATCAGTTTAGAACAACAATCTGAATTTTATTAAAAACAAAAATAAATCTAAAAAGCTTCTTTCAGTTACATCATATGCACAAGCGTTTCTGCATTACATCATTTTACATGAAATGTCTGAATGACATTAGTAAAAGTAGAATTTACTACCATTTGAAGAGGAGCTAGGTGCTAGAAATCACACATTTATACAAAGAAACAAAAGTTTCATAGGGAAAACCTGTAATCCCTGGCTAAAGGCAAGAAGTGAGATTAGGAACACAACAGAAATTTGAAGGAAACAAAGATATTCAATAATTTTTAAAACTACTTCAGCAAAAAGAAGTCAAACATTTGTAAATAACTTTAAATCTTTTCAGTATGTTGTGTTGCTATAGGGTAAACATTCTTAACTGACTTTTTTTCCAATTCAATAAATAATTTTTGCTGTGGAGGAGTATTCGCTCTAGATTAGACAAACTTTGCTTTCTTTCCCTGAAGGTAAGAACAAAACGCAATTAGTGTTTGTTCAGGGACTGTTTGAATTTCTTGGACATGATTTTAACAACTTGCTGTTTGCTATTTCCACCTCACACTGAGGTTCAGAATAAACTGTAGAACCAAAGCTAATAGTGTCTGGCTCCGCCACCACATATTTTTTGAAGGTCTGATGGGCAGAGGCAATGATAAAGTGGCTGAGACCTTAAGTGTGCATGATCGCCTCCTCACCTTTAGGGAGAGGTGGAAGGAAGTATGAGCTTGGCAATGCTACTACTTAAAAATGGAGTAAGGCTGAACTGCATTTAATGTCCAGACCACGACAGTACTGAAAATGCCAAAGAACTGACTGTAAACAAACAACTCAAGTTGGTACCATGACTGAATCTAGTATTTTCTTCCATTAACCTGTCAGGATATCCTTATCAAGTGACTACAAATGATGATAAAATTTCCTCTTAGCTGTATGGTGATGACTAGACATGATGTCAGAATCCTCTGATTCTGAATCTTAATGGGAAGTCAAACTTGGCATTCAAGTCTGAGACCATTCGAAGTGCTGTGTAACAGACATGAGGTCTCTCTGGTGGAGTGCAGGTGTACAGACAACTATGTCAGGCGGGAGTTTAGCTCTGTCTGAGTCTACAGCTATCTTCTGTGCCAATTTTATTTTGTTACTAACGCTGAGCCCAATACTAATTTCACCTAGGTAATAGAACTTGGGAATGATAACTTTTTCTTTATTTCAATGAAAAAAGATCCTAATTCCTAGAAGCTACTATCAGATTTTGAATATGCTAAAAATGACACAGTTTAGTATAAAGTGTTCTTTACCTTTATTGCTTGAATATAGACCGAATCTATTATAAACTCAAGGAGAAGAAAAAATAATAGAAGAAAAGTTACCTGCTTTAGCATTTTTAAGAATAGTTCTGATAACTTCTTAGATCAAGTTGCTTATCTGAAACAGGAGAAACTACAATAGAACCATGACAGAATCTACGGATTGCAGCAATCATGCTTTCATTTTTAATATTTTCTCTTTAAACATGAATGCTGTAGAAGTGAGGCTAACGGCATCCTTATTTAAAAGACAGTCTTGTACTGGTATCAAAACATGACTTAATATTGACTGAAAAATAGAGCTTATGTAATTTATTTTTTCAACTACAATTTCTTATTTTTAAATTTTCTTGAAGGCTGGTAGCAAAATTATTGTTAACAATATAAATATTCTCTTTATATGTGTTGAAATTTTCTTAAAAGCATGGAAAGCAGGAGGCATTCCAGAATCGACTTTGATGAAAAAAATCAATTATCCAAGTATCTTGGAGAAGCAGGAAGCTTGAATTTCTCTTTACCTCTTGTCTTCCTTACTAACTTTGCTCCGTCTGCTTTACTCCTTATTTGGCATCATGAACAGACATCTAAGCCAGAGCATCTAAGCTGGAGCAATTCTTTCTGTTTTCCATTATTTCTCTTCAGTTTTTTCAAATATATCACAAAATAATCCAATAATCATTGCCCAAAGGATCATTTAAGCGAAATCATTTTTATCTTTTAATTAATTTGATACTAATATTTGAATCATAAAAACTATAGTTTCAACACACACACAATTACAAATCCTTACAGCTTAAAAAAGAGTTCCATTTTATTCAATATGTCATAAACAGTTTTTAGACTACTGAAAACTGCTAAAATTGCTTTCACTGAGGACAGCAGCCACCACTTACCTGCAAGTATGCAACAGGTGGAACTATGCTCAGTGCTGATCCAGGAAGTGCTGGCACCATAGCCCTCTCTTTGAACTCACACCCAAAACTCTCTATCACTGAACTGTACCACCAATTATTGTAGATTTATAATACCCTGTCTTTAACTTGGTGTATACCATCTTTTGGGAAAAAAAATACTAGATTTTTGAGACGAGATCTAAGAAAAAAATCATTCTGGAGGTTCCACCTTTACTAGAGAAGGACGATGCGTGTACACAGCAGCTAGTATGATCCCACGTTCTATCAGGCTAGTCTCACACCATGAGCATGCATGTACAGCCAGAGTTCACCTTGTGTTCTGAAGTGGAGAACTGGTGCTTTTCCAAGCCATCGATGCCATCCATCATCTTATGCATCAAGGCAGTGGATTTTATGTCCACCACAAGAAGAAAATAAACGACATTAACAAACGCAGCAAATATAGGCATTTGGCATTCAGAACACGCCAAAAAGCTAACACTCATGAATTATCATAAGGGTTTTTCTTTTCTTAAAAAAAAGTCTTTTCTTTGCATATTTTAAAATCTAACGGTCCCACAGAATCATGAAGTGCCTTGTCTCTTCTGCTGTTGACTTCTGATGACCTCTAGCTGTTTTTTGCATTGCTGGTAATAAGTAGAAAGGCTTTTGTTTTCATCTAAAAGCTTTTTATGTTCCTGTACCAGACGAGATGTATTTTGCTGGTCCTTTTCATCCTGGTCCAATTCTGCAACTAGTTCTTGCCTAAAACAAGTATTACATGAGAAATAGTATACATGACAGAAAAAGATACATTTAGCTAGCCGATGCTAGAAACTCAGTTAATGAGAGCTTTCACCCTGTCGTTCTGCATTGCAAGTACACTATTCAAACATATAGAGGGCAGAATGGAGACAAGGCTCACCCTTCTACTGTAAGTATACAAAATTAATGTTTCAAAGAATTTCATCTGATAGTCTCTCTTTGTGGTAGAAAGGAAGAGAAAAGACTATCTGGATACAGGAATTAACATTCGAAGTCTTGTAATTCACATTCTGCTTTTACATTCATATGCTGAAATCACAATCCTATGTCACTACAGCACTAAGTGGTAGCTAACAAAACATTTGTGAGCTAATAAAGAGATGCTAACTACTTACAGTCCTTTTCTATTTTAAAACAGCAAGACTGGTATTTGCAAACATTACCAGGAAAGATTCTCAGAGTCTTTTTTGGTCAGGTAACTCTCCAAGTATCTTTTATTTTGAAGATATTAAGTACTAGCTTTCAAAATGAGGTTAGTGGGTATAAATGAGTAATAAATTCTTCAAGCAAAATAATTTCCTAATCTTTCTCACTAAAAAACATACTTGGGTTGATGAGATGGCTCAGCAGGTAGGAGGCACTTGCCGCCAAGTCTGATGAACTGAGTCCAATCCCTGGGACCCACATGGTAGAAAGAAGAAAACGGACTCCTTTAAGGCATCCTCTGCTATGTGAACATTCCCCCCACCAACAACACTAAATAAACGTAATTAAAAAATTTAAAGTACTTAAAATTGATTAAAACTGTCAGAGTTCTTACATTCCCTTACATTGAACATTTGTTTTTTTCTACCACAGAACTCTTTCAAATGATTTAAGTATAACAAAAACATCGGTTAAATACAGAAATAAATGCAGGAATCTCCATCCCCTCAAAACCAAATGCCAGCAATTCCACAATTACTTCTACAAATTTCAGACCATCATATTCAATTTCCTCCTTATGCTTATCTTCACGATATCAACTTAAGTTTCATTTAAATTATCATAGTACTTTTCTATCTTTTAAAGGTCATTTTATTATTATATTTATCTATTCACTCTGTGTGTGTGCGAAGCTCATAGGACACCTTGAGAGGACTGGTTCTATCATTCCACCATGTGGGTCCAGGGGACCAAATTGAGGACCTCAGGCTTGGTGGCAAGTTCATCTACCTCCTGAGCAACCTTGCTGGCCCTATTTTCCTCTTCTTGAAGCACAAACGCAAATTACTTCTCAAAAATTACTTTGGAAACCTACAGTTTTATTTACATAGTTCATTTTTTTTTTTTACAAGATTCAGTTACTACCCTTTATAAGTCTATGATTTCACAAGAGTCATGCTTAAGAAAACTGAAACCTGCATAGAAATAGACGAGAGTTTTTTAAAAACAGAAGCAAGACAGTTTCTACAACTCTCAGAAAAACACATGAGCCTAAAATTCCCCAGAAAACACACACATGAAATAAAGCCCTGTGACAGATACTCCTATTCTCCTAAACACAATCAAAGCCATGAAAATGTCTCAAAGACACAGCTCAAATGAATGTTAGTAAAAAAATTTTACTTTTGTCTAAGAAACAAATTTTAGAATAATAAATCTAAAAAGCTTTTAATTCTAAAATTCCGAGAACATTAAAAACTCTGTAATTTATAATACCAGTTTATTTTCTTTAGTACTAATACAGTATCATCAAAAGGGTTAATTTGAATTTTGCATGAAAAATAGTAAAAAGGTGCTTATAACAACATAAATCTACCTGGAACTTATGTTTTTAAAAAAGATTTACTTTTATTTTATTATAGGTGTATTTGTGGGTGTGTGTGTGTGTGCACATATGTGCAATGCCCACAGAGGCCAGATGAGGGTGGTGAGAATTGAACTCAGGTCCTCTCCAAGAGCAGTTTATGCTCTTATCCACCGGAGTCATCTCTCTAGTACAAGGAAATATGCTTAGTAACTAATTTAAAAGTGAAAATTTCTGAGGCTGGAGAAACAGCTCAGCTGATCTTACAGAGGACCCAGGCTCGATTCCCAGAACCCACATGGCAGCTAACAACAGTACTGTTCCAGGGGGATCTGATACCCTCTTCTGACCTCTGCCAGCACTGTATGATACAGGTGTACTTATATGCATGCAGGGAATACATTATTACACAAAAAATAAAAATAGATAAAATATTTTCTTAAAAAGTAAGTATTTCTTACTCTTTAAGAATAATGTTGCTACCTCTGTATTTTAAAACCAAATACTACTAATTTTTTGCTTTTATTTGTAAAAAAGACTTACTTTCTCTGTAGTAACAATGCAATTTCAGTTTGGACTTTCATATATTCTTGTGCCATTTTACAATGTTGTTCAAACACTGCCATGGATTCTTTGGAGTTTGGGCACGGTGCTAGAGGCTGGAAACAAATCAGGAATGTTAAGCCATAACTAAATGAAATCTCAGTACCTATCTAAGATGAGACTGTGACTGATATATTTTTATGGCACTAAAGCAATGGCATCCTAAAAAAGAAGTGTTATGTTGCGGGGCCCACCAGGCTCCAGTGGATAATTCCAACCCCATGGTCACAAAAGTGATGCTGGTTAAATTCAGTGGGTCTCAAACCAAATCAGACAGAAATGAAACACAATGAAACAAAACAAAACACATGAATGTGGGACAGAACTTGAAGGGAGGAAGTATTAGAGGTGGAGGGGTTAGAGAGTGACTAAAGAGGGGCAAGTTACAACAATCAGAATGTACTTTACACACATCTAAACTGTCAAAGAACAAACTCATCACAAGCTATATATTTAAACAGTGTTGTGCCACGCTCCGGAGAGCTCAGTGCTTTCCTCCTGTCAACTCAGAGCTCCTGACAGAAAGTGTAGGGCTCTGAGGTGGCACTTCATGTGACAAAACTGTAGTGGACTGAGGTGTTTTCTTTTTTCTTTTTTAAAAGACAGGGCTGTGTTGCTCAGGTTGATCTCGAACTTTCAGTCCTACTTCAGTGTTCTGAAATAGTCAGGATTAAGGGTATATGCCACCATGCCAGACTGCCAAGATTTATAGTTCCTATACTTATGATGAAACCCAAGTGTATTACACTTTCAGTCATTATGAACCTAAGAATGCATCACAAAATGTCTTAAATAGAAATAAGCTCATATGAGTTTTATTTTAAAATTAAGATAATTTTTATCAGGGCTGGAGAGATGGCTCTGCTGTTAAGAACACTGGTTGTTTCCAGAAGACCCGGGGGGTTCAAATCTCAGCATCCACATGGCAGCTAACAACTGTCCCTAATTCCAGTTCCAGGGGATCCGACAGCCTCTTCTGTCCTCTGTGGGCATTGCACCGCATGCACGGGTGCACTTACCTACACACAGGCAATACATGCTACACATAAAATTAAAAAAAAAATAAAAAAGATAATTATCACTAAAATTAAGGAGCAAAAATGCTACACTTGGCAGTCTTAGTCAAAGACATGGAGCTACTTTAAGTTGACTGTTAGGATAATAAGAACATACAATTCTGTCAAACTTAAGTCAAATTAACTAAAAAACATAATCTTTTTTTTTTGTTTTTTGAGACAGGCTCTCATGTAGTTCATGCTGGTTTCAAACTCATTGAGCTAAGCTGACCTTGAACTCATGATCACCTTGTTTCCACTTCCAAAGTGCTGAGATTTTAGGCACATGCTGACATCCTGACAAAGCCATTTATTTTAAAGTTTAAGGTGGCCAACTCAAAGCATAAATAATGACTATACCATGATGAATAGGAATACAACTGTGAATTTCATAGAGTCCGTAAGGAGGAAAAAGTAAGCCACTCAGAAAGAGTTCCTTTACCTGCAGCTGGTGATCCAGTGTAAGATATGCCATGGGGATGGAGTTATCAGATCCATTTGTATCTGGAATTCAAGCATGTACTTTTTTAAAATTTGAATATGCACTTATTTGTCATAATGATAAATAAGAAAACGTGAGATATTGTTTTTCCCCTAGATAAATTGCTTGTATTGGTAATTAAAGGTTCTATTTCTGAATTCTAAAGTAAAAAAGGTGGACATCTGATCACAGATATTAAAAAGCAATCCTATTCTACAATTTAAGTTGATTATAAACTGAAGAGAACGCTGTGTATTAATGATTATAGGCCCTTGTTTAATTAAAAACACAAAAATATAGCCTGTATATTTTAAATTCAGTCCTAACTGATCCTATGCAATCCAAGCCCACATCTCTTTCTTATGCTGAGTTGACCAAGAGGCTGGATCAGCTCTGTTAGCGTCAGTACACAGGAGAAGGAAAGGGAAAACCAGCACTTTCACATCTCCAGAGGTTCATCTGCAGCTTATACAGATGCTAATATGAGCTCCTCGGTCTACCCCTAATGAGACCCTACTGGTGAGAAAATATTAACACATATACTGCCCCAACAAAAACAAACAAAATCTCAAAACAATAAAAATAAAAGGTATTTAAGACCATGGCTCAAAAATGCCATGATGCTTTAAATGGTTATACTGGTTAATTCAAACTACCAGCCAATCTTATCAGAGTGTGTGAATGTGCAGGCTTTTTTCAAAAGAGGTAGAATTACCCTGTCACTGGAAAGACTGGTAAGGATTAAGGCAAGACCATGAAGACCATGATGAGGGTCTGCAGAGAATCCAAGGGAAAGCTGAGGAGGAGGGCTGGTGGCTCAGTAACCTGATTTCCTGATGACTGGTATTCTCCATAAAACTTTTGTAATGTTGGGGATTGAACCTAGAGCCTCCTATCACTTCCCCAGCTTTTAGGTCTTCCTTTCTTCTCTGCCCCCCACCCCTCTTGATTTATTTTCTTGAGTGTTTTGCCTGCATGTATATAAGTGCACCCATGCATGCAAATGCCTGCTAGTTGCTATGTGAGTGCTGGGAACCAAGCCTGGGTCTTCTTCAATAGCAGCTAGTGCTTTTAAATATGGAGCCATCTCTTCAGCTCCAAACATTTCTTCCTTATTTTTTTTTTAACCTAAATCACTGATACCTCTATGTTTTACTCTATCAGCATTTTGCTTCTGATATCTTATCTAGAATTAAGTATAATTCATTGATTTCACAAGCACTGGGTTTCACTGTGTCGATTCAATTAAATAAAGTCTTTCCATGAAGGGAAAAGTAGCATTCCACTTTTTCCATTTGTACCCAAACTGAAATAGAGCTTCTAGTTTCTAATATTAATAACTGGTCACAAGATAGCATAGTTACTCCCTGAAAGATTATTTTTATAATGTTTCACTTATAATCAAATATAACCTCTTCTCACAAAATATTAAGTCCAGTGGGGGAAAATTTTTTTTCTGTTCCTCCAACAGAATACTTTCTAGTACCTTACATATTTTAAGGATGCATTTCTTTGATGTGGATGCTTTCTTAGTTACCTGACTTGTGTCTTAACCACTGAGACAGTCAGCTTATACTATAAAGTCAGCAGCGTATCATACCACGCAGTGAGTTCACTGTTAATGTAATGAATGTGGTCCATGTCTTATGTCTGTCTTTGCAAGGTTCAAGGCACAGAAAAAACTATTAATGAGTCTCCCAGCAACATCTCCTCCACTGTGTCTAGGTATAGCTCTCAACTAGGTCCTTAGGCAATGTATGTCTATCTTCACACTCATTATATTTATATCATAAACAGAAAGAGCACTCTGGGAAAATTATTAAATTGTTAAGTTCTTTAGTTTTTTCTGAAAGGATACAGGAAAAATGTAAATAAAAAATCTTAATAATTATGCTATTTTACCTTAATTTATATTCATAATTATTTCCTGAATCACGGAAAAGGAAGACTTATCTTTTCTTATAATTTATTCAACGTAGTGAGGCATCACTGCAATACATTTCAAAGGAAAGACAAAGTTCAGCTAATCTGGTAACCTGGGCCCAGGTAAAGTCTTTGTGCTACTGATATGTTATAGTATTTTTAGGTACTTCCAGTATTAGGTTTCCAAAAAGAAATGAGACAGGGGTTGAGGAGTAGGAGCATACATGAAGTAAAAAAACAAAAGACGGGAAACTGCCATACTGAGTCCCAGACCTTGGTAAGTGCTATCATGTCAGGGAGAATGCCTCCTTAGATTGGGAACCAAAAGAACATCACTGGAATGGTCAGACCAGTTCCCTGTCTACTTGGATGAGGGGCTGGTCTCTGGCCATTTCCACACATGTGCTGAGCAGTGCTGAGTGTGCTGGGGAGAAAACTTAGGAGTTTTTCCCATTACTAAATTTAAGCTTACTAAAACTAGGGAGTACAGGTCTCATGAAACATAGTTCTAAATTACATGACAGAGAAAAGTCACCCATTTAATTTTTTAAATTGAATTATAAACTTAACCATGCCAAGTATCTACAAATACTTCAATCATTTCAGTTTGTGAAGACAGAACTTCAGCTTAATTCAGCCTAACTGCTACTATTAATAACAGTTGATACTATATACAGTTTTCAAATAGTTTAATTTTCCAAGGCTTAAGAGATCATCTTTCCCTTTCAGACTTAAAAATATAAATAAAAATATTCCCTAAATATTTATTAAGGCATTCATACCATTTCCTGCTTGCTCATAAAGAAAAGACTATTTCTTCATTACCTTCAGACAGGCAGAGGGTTTTTTTTTGGGGGGGGGTTGACAGGGTCTCCCTACCACTTGGAACTCACTATGTAGACCAGGTTGGCCTTCATCTCAGAGATCCACCTGCCTCTGCCTCCTGAGTGTTGGGATTAAAGGCATGTACTACCACGCCTAGTGTTAGAGAGGCAGATTTTTTAATACTATCATTGGAACATGCTGGGGAGTTTTTATTGTTGTTGCTGTTTTGTTTTCTTGAGGCAGGGTCTCCCTATAGCCCCAGCTGGCCTGGAACTTGCTATATATACATCAGGCTGGCCTCCTGCGTGCTGGGACTTTAAAGGCATGGGCATCCTGCTGGGGAGTTTTAAAGGCTTTCAAAAGTCTATGTAACCAAAATGAAGTCTCAACATGTGTTAAGAATGATTCAAAACGTTGCCAAACACCAGTGTCTTTTCTCCTCTCTTGTTTCCTTAAACACTGAAGGTTGATAAACTGGAAATAATGCCAACAATTGAGAAATGGGACCTCACAAAATTAAAAAGCGTCTTCATAGCAAAAGAAACAGTTAAGTGAACAGAGCCTACAGAATGGAAGAGAATATACAAAACAATGCAAAAAAAAAAAAAAAAACAAGTAAGAAATCAAACAGCCAATAATAAATAGGCTAATGAACAGTCATTTCTCAAAAAGTGAAACAAAATGACCAATACACATGTGAAAAAAATGACCTGGTCAGAACCTATGACTGGTTAGACCACAGGACTCAGGAGGGGGAATGTTGTTTTGCTAAAGGGACAGGCTGTCAACCCGCCTTTTAAATATTTATGCTTATATCCATAGATTAGTGCTGTTCTCAGCCGTGGTCAGAGAATTTTTTTTCTGCAGTGGGCAGTGGTTAACAGAGACTCAGAACTGGCTGAAAAGCATTGTGAATAAGTGACTGCTGAGTGCTCAGCCCTAAACGGGACATCTTTATCAAACTCCCTCAAGGCTTAAGGAACAAACATCATAGAAGAGGGTAGAGAAGAATGTAGGGGCCCAGATGTGGAGGAGTGCTATGAAATGCCATCTCTAGACATGACATGGTCATGGCCATTGTACTCATGAACTCAGGGCAGGGGAACAAAGGGACTAACGGAAATGCGGGGGGGGGGGCATGCTAATGTGCACCCTGTATCTGTGTGAAACATCCTTATGCAACACAGCATCACGCACAACGACACAGTGGAAATTGAGAAACAAAAACTGAGATGGAGGGGGTTCGAGGAGTTTAGGTGGGGTCAGAGGGTGGAAATGATCTAAATGCACTGTATTCATGTGTGAAATTACCAAATAATATATAATTAAAAAAAGACAAACTGCAATGAAGATGAGGATGGTTATTTTTGCCATTTTGCTGATCTTAATTACTGAAAAGATGACTCTACAACTCTCACCTGATATGAAGGACCAATATATGAAAATCTTAGACTGAAGCACTAAGAATACAGTGTTTCTTGGATAAAAAAATCCTAAACTATCTTCAAAATATATGTTTAGTATTTGGAAGAAAAAAATAAACAGCAGTTAAGGCAGTCTCGGCCACAATGCTCAAAAGGACATTTAAAAAATATAATGCTAGTTGATTTTATAAACATGAAAAGCTAAATTACCATACAATGCTTGTCTTTGCAAAGATAAAAGTCATGGCAGGGCTAAATACATTCAATTTTGTATTTCAATGAAGAACTAGAGGGGTCACCTGTGGAATCATCAGGGGTCCATGGATGACTACGAGCTGGCTTCTCTGAGGTTGGTCCTGAGGTAGTGATCATTCTGATACTGGGACTGGATGACCTGCTGCTTACCTATAAGGAACAGCAGGAGGAAAAGATGGGATTTAAAAAATTTAAACAGAATGACGAGACACATTTTCATTTCCATTAAAAAAATGAAAGACTTATTTTTCCTAGTAGAAAATGAAACACTCTTGAAAAAAAATCAGTTCTCTAAGTATATTACCTATAAATATAAATGTCAATGAAGCCAGAGGGGGCCAAGAAGGGCTTAAGCTGCTAGTCCTAGGGATTCCAACCCAGCACCAGGGGCCTAGAGTTTTTGTTTGATTGTCTGCTATATGGAGAGGAACTCACAACAAAGTCATGGGTTTTTGCAGGATGAAAGAGACTGGACAAAACTCTGCTTAAAGCTAAGACTCAGGGAAGGCTTTGTTCTCTGGCTAGAGAATCAGGACAAGAAAAATCTACCAACAAAGGCAGGTAACAAGCCCAGCATAGTGGCACACCCCTGTAATCAGCATTTGGAGGCTGAGGCAGGAGGATCAAAAGTAAATCTGGTTCTGCAGAGGCTCTAAATGAAGGGGGAAAAAACTATTCACTGTACTCCAAAAACATTTTCAGACTCAACAGAAGACAGAATAAAGCATAACTAAATGAAAAGTGTAAAAAATAAGATCTTATAGTCAAATTCCAGAAAACAGACAAATTGAAGATAGAAATGATGTGAGAGACCTGACAGATTATAGGTTAAGCCATTCCAACAAATGTGAAATGAGAAATTCTTCTAGACCTGAAACATTGAGTGCTCACAAGATGCCACAAGTAGAAAATTCTATACTTGACCTCCTGCAACAGGTCATGGTCAAAATACAAGTACACTGAAATATTACATAAAATTACCTGTTAGTTATGTATTATGACGTATACAGGAAAATCAAATGAAGTTCATGTCAGACTTGGACCTTACTACACTTAAGGTTCAATAATCACAGATCTAAGTTGCATACGACCAGGGAGGAAATAAGCAAGGTTCAGTACCAGACGATCAATCCTGAACTTTACTTTAGAGTTCAGAGCTGCACTCACGCTGGCACCTACTACTGATGGTTCAGAGCAAGTTCTAATTGGAGTATCAGTATCAATGGCAAAAGTAAACACAGCTCAAAAGCCTGTGCTCACCAAGTCTCTATGAAACCAAAGCAAACACCAGATGTCAGACTGTGGGCTGACTGACTGACTGACTAAAGCCTTTAATACTGAGAGAAAAAAGGGTAAATATCAGTCAAAAGTGAAAAGTTTTGGGGTTTCCTAAAAAACATTATACTGAAAAAACTGCTCTTGAAGAAGTGAGAAAAAAAGGTTTAGATTCACTATTGTGGCTCTATATTATGTATCTATAATTCTGTATTTTAAGATTATTTGTGTACACATATGTGTAAGCATTATATGCTGTTATAAAATATTACCATATTTTAAAAGAATGAAAGACATCTATCACTTAAATATTAAGAATTTTTTGATAAGTTAAACGGGCTCAAGCATTCTAACTTTTATCATTAACTACAAAGATTTGCAAACATTTTGCAAAAATGAAATAAAATAATTCTCTAAGATGAAAAGTACCAATGTACTAATTAAACCCACTGTTAATAGTATATGATATTAGCATTTTACATGTATATGGACAATTATACAATAATTTTATTATTTGTATGAATGCTGTACTCACATGAAAACAAAACATCTCATAATTAGTCCTCAATCATTTTAGAAAATATGACAAAAATTTTACCTCAAAAAACAGAAGAAAAACAAAACAAAACAAAAAACAATGACTGAGCTACTTTTATACACCTATTAGATTAGAACTCTGTAGTAGAGTCAGGAATGGCTTGGGTTACAGCACTTTCTGGACCGTTTAGAAAAAGGCTAGGATTTAGACAGTGGGAATTTTGAAGAGGATTCAGAAGTATAAACAATAAAAACTCTTAACAGCCAGGAGAGATGCCTTTCTTGAGTTTACCCATCTGCTTAGTATATATTTTCTTAAGGATATTTAAGAAAAATATAAATCCAGTGGGTACATCAAACTAAAAGATATTAGCGTTCTCTGGGTGCGCCAATGCCCTGTGACCCCAGAGGTGTAGCTTAGTGGGGAGGTAATTATTTCTTTGGGTACAAAAGGTAAAGAGAGATTATTAAGTTACAAAATCAAATACTTTTCTTAAAATACACGAAACATATGACAAATATACATAGAGCACTTCTGAATAACTTACTTTCCCACACAGTTCAAACTAAATGAATAATAACATCAATGCTTTTCCTTTTTCCTTAAGTACTTAAATTCAGTAGCGAGAAATTTCTTTACCATATTTTCAGGTCAAGTAATAAATTTTGCAGAGTACATCTGGTTAATTCTTAATTTCTGCCTATCATTAGTTTTCAAAGACAGACAATCCGAATGTTAAGTCTTACCTGACCAGGTTCTGTCCCAGTAACAGTTAAGTCTTGGATGGATCTACGCCTTGGTTGCCCGTTGCCTTAAAACAAAAAACAAAAAAAACTAAAACTGAACTCTATTCAAAGAGGTAGTTAAGAGTGTAACTGTTGCAGAGGAAGTGGTAATTTGTTGTTCCTTGGATCTATATAAATTGTGGGAAAAAGATTAAGTTTATTATACAAAAACTCCAAAAACTGACGAGAGAGAGAGAGAGAGAGAGAGAGAGAGAGAGAGAGAGAGAGGCAAACAAACTACTGAAAAAGGTTGCAGTGCTTTAACTCCCAAATTGCTGGCCTACAACAGAGCATGTCCTACACAATGACACTCCTACCACATGAACAGCAGCTGAACTGTCTTCCACCATCTTCTGTCATGTGTTTTAAACAGAGGAATGCCTGGGGGTGGGGGCTGTGGCTGATGACGGCATCTATTTCAAGGGCCTTACGTTACAGTTTTCACAGCAAGACAGCTACCAGGTTATAAGACACGTCTGACTTTAACTGGCAGCAGCATCTCCTTTCAGGGCCCAAGAGGATGCTTAAATTTATAGTACCAAGTCACATTTAATCCTATTAGTCTTTGTCAGAATACAGTAATTCATCAGTAGTAACAGCTCAATCTCCTCTTGTAGCTGAATGACTTTGATTCCATTCTCAAATAAACAGCTTGTTGAAATAGACTAATATGTATACCCTGCTTCTATGTTAGTAAGTCTTTAACTTTAAAAAAAAGGATTCTATGAACAAGTCTTGAGCAGAACAGATGAATGAAGCAACAGCTTCACTTAGCACCTTTACTTGGTAATAGGGTTGTTTGCAAAGTATCTTTTAACATGAGGGGTCAGCTGTCTAAAAGGAAACACCAAAATACTATGAAAAACAGCTGACACAATACTCAACATTCTTTGAAAGCTTATTATGTAACTCTGCAACCAGTGGGCAGTACTTGGAACATGTGCCCTAACGTGTTCTGATGAGCAGATAAACCACTTAAAAAACTTTTATATATTTCCATGATCCTGGTTCTACAAAGAGTTATCTTAAATGAGCCAGTACCATTTCCCATCTTACTCCACGTGACCTCATTGTTTTACACAAAAACGAAATGACTTTAAACAGAATTAAGAATGTTTAATGAAATAAACATGCAATGTTTATTAAACATTTTTATGTTTTTAAAAAATTTAAAAATTATGTTTATTAAAAATGTTTATTAAACAGTTAAAAATGTTTATTAAACAGTGAATACAAAACTCAAATTTATAATCACTCTTGAAAGTGACTTTTCCCATTTTAGATTGTTTTAAAATTCTTTATATATTCAGAATTCAATTTACTTTTATTTCAAATTTCAACTTTAAAATGTCCCAACTTTCTATTACAAAGCAAAAGAACAAACTTTTATTTATTGAACCAGACACTTTTATGAATACTTTTAACCATTTCTGTTTCCCCCAAACAAAAAGGATTTTCCCTTCTATGACTAATAAGCAATTTTAGGCACATTTCATTCAACACACTCATTCTAAAATTAGCACAGATGAGACAGGCTATAAAAGTGTCTGGAATTCTCTTTTCAAGTCAGCAACAAATTCGGCAACATTTGTGAATCTGAGGAACAACCCAGCACATTTGTCTATAAACCATGGCATCACCATACAATAACACCAGAGTTGAGTTCAAGTCTAGTTGGGGAACAGAGAAGAGGGGAGTAAAAATTTGTAAGGAAGTAGGGTAAATAAGAGCTGACAGTTAATAAAGGCCACAAAATGAGAAACCATCATGCTACTCCAAGCAGTATTAGGCAAGTGCCTTCCACCGAGCAGAACCCGGCAGAAACCATCTGCAAACAGCTCAAAGCAAAGCAGGGCTGCAATCAACAAATGCTCGTTGCTCCAATATTAAGTCCAAAACTCGTAATTTAGAAACATGGATGTAAAATAAATCAATCTCTTATTGCAAATGGAAATCACTGGGTGTGTTCCTAGAAAATTTCGATTCTCAATTTTTTGCACTGAAAACCAATGTAGAAATGTACTCATTTTACACATTTCTTTACATTTATTCATTTATTTACTTACTGTGTGTGCTATGGCAATGGGTGTGGAGGTCTGAGGACAATTTGTCTGAGTCAGTTTTCTCCTTCCACCATGAGTTTTGGGGGCTGAACTTCCATTATCAGGTTAGGGAGCAAGTGTCCTTACTGACTACCATCCCACTGGCCCTTATTTTATACTTTTTAAAGTTATTTGATATAGACACACCTATATTACACATGTTCTAGCCAACAGTAAAAGTAGAAGAATCTAGGGCAACATAATGTACCCACACGCCTGCAAATGATATCCTGAGTGTTTCATTCTGTAATAATTCTGATACTTTCATGACTTTACAATAGAGAAAAATCAATTTTTAAAGACTGTCTTTTTCTAAGAGCAACAGAAAGAATATTTCATACTCCCAGCCCATGTTGCATACCTGCCTCCAGCCTCCAAAGGAGAAAGGGAAGCAAAAAAAACTGCTGTTGGTTCAGTTCTCTTTGAAGTATGTCAGAAAGACTGAATCTACTCTTTAAAGAAGCTGCTCTTTAAAGTACAACTGATTTCCTAAGCAAGCATTTCAAAAGTCATTACAATTATTTCCAGAGATTACTGGCTTAGGCCTCAACCAGGCTTTCTACTGGTTAAAGTAAATCCAGTTTTTATTGCCGTTACCTGTTTTCAAAGTTCCTGACTCCCTTCACTTAAAAAATACTATGTATCCTAGAGACTTCTCTTACACAAATTGTTGGAAGATCTGAGATTTATAAGTTCTGAATAATAATAAAAATTGTGGGGTATTGTTCCTATGTATAAAATGACTGAAAACTTTGTACACTATATATACTGCAGTATTAAATTATTGCTTAATGATAAACTGAAGTAATTTAAAAATATGTTTAGTTAGTTTATCACAATTTCTTATTAATTTCAACAAATTCTGACTTTTCCCTTAGAAAGTCCCTTCAGATAGGTTTTTCAAAGTCCTATCAAAGAAAAGCAATGGTTGATTACTGATGATTTTTGCCTTGTAATAGACTAGCTTTATTAGGTTGGAGTTTTTTTTTTTTGATCTTTTTGAGACAGGGTCTCCCTGCAGGCCCAGTTGGCCTGGAAGTCACTATGTAGACTAGGCTGGCCTCGATCTCACAGAGATCTACCTGCCTCTGCTTCCCAGTGCTGGGACTAAAGATGTGTGCCAAATGCTTGGAGTTTGGTTTTTTACTTTTCTCTTTCTGAAACAAGGTCTATGTAGCCTTGGCTGGCCTGGAACTCCCCATGCAGACCAGCCTGGCCTCAAACTCACAAAGATTCGTGTGACTAACGGCTAGGGTTAAAGGTATGTATCACCACTACTCCTGGCTGTTAGGGTTTACTTTTTGGATTATAAAATGTGACCTTGGTAATATGTAAAATTAAGTTAACTACTCTATTTGTCACCAATACAAAATTTTACTAGAAACAAAACAGATCTACCTTCCTGTAATTCCTTGTGGGAACCAGAATCCCCAAAGATTTGTAGTTGTTAATGATGCTGTTTGTAAGGCATGAACTTTTCATCAGCAGAAAAACTCAAATCTGGGGCTGGAGAGATGGCTCAGCGGTTATAAGCACTGGCTGCTCTTGCAGAGGACTGGGGTTCGATTCCCAGCACCCACATGATGGCTAACAACTGCCCAATAACTCCAGTTCCACGGGAAACGAGCCCTCTCTTCTGACCTCCGTGGGCACTGCAGAACACAGAGGCACTTACACACAAGTAGGAAATACACTCATACACATAAAATAAAATTTAATAAATAAAATGGGTTGGAGATGGCTCAGAGATTAAGAGCACTGGCTACCCTTGCAGAAGACTGGGGTTCATAGTGTTTAACAACTGTCTGTAACTCCAGTTTCAGGGGATCCTCTGTGTGTATTGTACAACACAGATACATTTACACACATGCAGGCAAAACACTCATAAATACAAAATAAAAATAAATAAAATAAAAAACCTCAAATATTCCTATTTCATTGTCATTTCAAATTGGGGCCGAACTATTTAAAAGTAAATATTTAATAATTTACACAATTCTGGCTAAATAAATATTTACAAACATCTGCATCTACTAGTTCTTGAACAAAAAACAGCATCAAAAAAATTTATTACCATACTGGTAAACAAAGCAAAGAAACATCCTGGTGTCTCTGAAAGCTATCTCTGTCTCTACCTGGTAATATGGTTAATATGTTTGCCAACACCTGAAATTCTCAAAGGAGAGCAAGAAGACCTAACAATCCATCTATTTTTCTGTTTAATATGTGGCTCTCTCCATGGCCTACTTTTTCCACCTTTCCACTTTATCATACTCCTTAAATTTTTTTTTCACATTTATTTTTATATTTTTTCACATTTTACACTTATTTTTATTCACATTTGTAGGGGGTGGTGTATGTACCACAGTGGTGTGTGGAGGTTAGAAGGCAACCAATTCTCTCCTTCCATCATATGGGTTCTAGAGACTGAACTCTGTCAAGAAGTTTGTCAATCAAGCAAGTGCCCCTACCCACTGAGCTACCTCACAGCCCGATTTTATCATACTCCTGATAAAAAAGTCAATATACAACACAGCCAACGTCCTTTCTAAAACTAAAAATGAATACTCATTAATATTTTGACTGTCAATAGACCTAAATGGTGCTAAAAACAAAGGGACATGTTAGGTTTCCTTTGAATTTTAAGAATGATACTATAATCCCAGCATGCAGGATGTAAAGGCACGTGGATCTCTCTGAGTTCAAGGCCAGCCAGGGCTACAGAAAGACTGTTTCAATCAAAACAAACAAAACAAAAATTTATATGTATCAGTAAGGCTTACTATCCAAATTTTACTATCCAATTTCCTTTATTATATCCTTAAAGAAAGTACTTAAAGCAGAATATCATCTTTGATCAAGGCATGTTAACACGTCTGCATTATGTACATTATTATAGACCTAAAAATCACAAAGGTATAGCTACTGTTCACTGTCCTCAAATTGTAGCACTTTATGGGAATATATATCATAATGGATCAGAGGTTCTTCAAGTGCCTTGAAATATTCTGGAAAAATTTCATTTTTGTACCCTTTATATGTTTAGAATGCAGCATTATCAGAAACCCTAAAAAAAATGCAATCAAGCACTGTAATTTGGTCAGAGCTAAGGAATACAGAATTAGTAATGGCTTGATAATAAAAACTTTAAATACAAATATACTATGCTGATTTCCAGTTTAACTAGTTCCCTTAAGATATATTTATAATTGCAGTATGAGTATTTGCAAAGTGACCTTGTAAGTCACATTCTGAGTATTCATTTAATTTTATAATAGCCACCATGCTGGTACCAGCTACATACAACCAATTTTATACTAGTGTGGGAGAAAGTGCAGGGCACAAATGATCTTCTTGATCACTGATTTTAGAATTAGGAACAGCATTTGCTTTTTTTTTTTTTTTAAGCATTTGCTTTCTCAGTCTCTTACTGTTTTAAACTGAAAAAAGGTTGTTCCTTTTGTATAACATTTAGTGCTCATCTTTGACAACAGAAATTTTAAAATAAATGTAAAACTTAGATATTTTAGCACCAGATAAAATAGATGAACTGCCACTTCCAGAATAGTCCTGCTGTCATAATCCCATATTTGAGATGAATATTTGAAATGAAGAGTAAAAAAGAGTTGGAAGCTTGGGCAGTAACAATCAAAATGTGGGTGACATAAGAAAACTCAAGAAAAGATTTGTATTTTAATGTCCTTACGCAAGTTCTGGAAGAAAAACAGAAAAAATTGAAACAATCAAATAACCTCTTACGCATTTCTGTTTCTTCAAACAAAAGAATAATATATTACAATTTACTGGTTGAAAAGGAAAAAAGGATTATGCTTTTAAAACTCAAGAAGTTTTAAGGGAAGGCAATTAAAAGTCGATTTTCTTTGCTCAAAGCCCACTTTATCAATTTATAATTTAATAAGCAAATGTATCAGAAATTATAGGATAAGTGCCCTAAATCTTGGGCCAGAATATTTGCATTGACTTCGCTTAGACAGTACTGCTACTGCTAACACTTGGCGTACAGTACCTTCTCCACAACAGCCGAATCAGCAAGGTGTCATATACACTCTATTCCTAAGTAGATGTCCTGCTTGGTGATGAGGACAACTGTCCAAGAGCAGATGGACAGTAGAAAATACAAGGGAGGGTTCCTATACCAAAGTTTGTCAATACATGAGCACCAGGAATAATGGTGAAGAGGTATGAAATCTGAAGTCTTACCAACAGGGGTCCTACACGATCTAAGAGTATTAAAGTGATGGTAGCCGAAGTAGCTTTATCTTTCTTATATGAATGGTGGTACTAATATTTAATACTTTTGAACAGCAAGTAAAGAATACTATTAGAAAATTAGGGTCTCTGTGTGCCTGCGTTAGACATTTTACCTGGTTATAGTCATTACAACGATGTACATGTCGAATGAAAACAGGAAGGGGCTTATTTGGAAGAACGGCTTCAGCAGGAGAGGAAAGAGGATGACAGAGGGGATGGGGAGTGAAAATGGCTAAAATGTATAACATACATGTATGAAACTGTCAAAGAATCAAAGATGAGAAAAGAGGTGTACATGTCAAGTCTACCTGAAGCTTGAAGGAACGCTGCCATTAGGAGGAGTTCATTTCAACTACACCGAACTCAGTAGACCGCACGTAGCCAAATGGAAGTATTATGGCAAGTATTTATTAGCAGATTAAAAATTATTAAAAAATACTTATAATTGGGTTCCAGTGCCAGTTAATAGGAGCCAATAAAGATCTATAGCAAAGAACTTATGAGAAATCTACTTAAAGGAACAAGTTCTGTAAGTACTAAGAAATCTGAGAAAATAAATGCCATCTTCTCTCTTAATTGAAACATCAAGAGGAAACTTAAGGTAGCCCCAAAGGTTGGGTTCTAGCATTATATTTAATTTAAAAATACAACTTAGGGCTTATTAATGTTTTAGTTTTATGTATATTCATTTCAATTCCAGATCTTGCATTTATTCTTATTAAAGAGAGTAAAAATGATTAATGTTTGGAAATCTGAGGGAAAACAAGAATATTTTTTAAAATGTATTACTGAAAAATATTTTCATTTAAACAGCATTGCTGCTTTGGCAATTAACAGCAGAATTAAGGTTTGTTGATTTCATAAGGATCTACCATCCTTGTCTCCCCAAGTTAAGAGCTCTCCTGAATGAAAACCCTAAAGGGCAAGGTAGAACTGCTCTACCTTCTGTGACTTAAAAAGAGCAAAACATGCATGTGATTTGGAATCAGAAGACCTAGGCTGGAGTCTTCCCTGGGTGGCTCTGGCAAAGAAGAAAAAAAAAAAAAAATTACTCAGCACCATTAGATCTTAGTTATCTGTAAAATGGCTACAGTTTCACCTGATGTAACAGGTACAAGTGTGCAATGGAAGTCCCAGTATTAAGATATGCTGCACTTTCAACTACTGTGTAGTTCACAAAGAGCCTCTAACCAGGATTTCTCAGCTTCAGCACCACTAACTTTTTGTACTAATTCCTCATTTGAGAGGCTGTGTAGTACCACTCACTACAGGTAGCTAAGTAGCATCCTGTCCTCTGTTCACTGAACACTAGCTTTTGCCACTTGTAAACTATTACTCTATCCCCTAACCTTTCCCCAGGCTCCAGTAGATGAACTCACATTGAGGGACATCTGGGTACACAAACTTAACTCAACAGGCCTTAACATATATGACAAAATGCATGAACTTCAATGGGTGGGCTATAGGGGGTGTGCATATAGGAGAGGGGGTCTAAATATGATTAAGCTGTATTGTGTGAAATGCACAAAAATTCAATGAAAATATGTTAAAAACTATTAAAGTTCTAATAACACACACACACACACACACACACACACACACACACACCTGCTCTTGACGTTTATCCTTTAGATCTACCTTAAGGTTATACTGCTGTTTGTTTAATTTGCCCGATCCTCTCAAATATTTAAGGTAATCACGAGCCCTAGGTAAGTTTAAAAGTTGCCACTTCTTTAGGCAGTAAATTATTCCCTTATATATCTATCAGCATGGAAGTAAAATAATCACAAATACTTTGTTAATTTCTAAAGCAGTCCTTAATACATAAAATTTACTCCCTGAGAAATGGGTTAATGCTTTGCTTTGAAGAGCACTGGTGGAAATGTTGTAAATAGGCCATCACTTTGACAATTAGTGAAAAATTACCATGAAATAATTTTCTATAGACAAAATGACCCATAAAATTGTATAATTTATATTTTGTACCCTAGTTCCTAGCCATTAGATATGCTCAACAGGGCTAATTAATTAATTTAATAAACAACTATTTATGTTGGGCATGATGATCCACCCTTTTAATCCCAGTACTCAGGAGGCAGAGACAGACAGATCTCTGTGAGGTCAGGCCATTCTGGTCTATATGGTGGGTTCCAGAACAGCCAGGGTTATGTAGTGAGACCCTGTTAAAAATCCAAAATAAACAAATAGGTAAATAAACACCTATTTATTACAGTATGTTCAATATGTGAAGTACTGAGCCAGCTACTACTAATATAATTAATAATAATTAACAAACGCAGTCTTTATATTTAGAGTTTTAATTTTAGAAGGAAAAAATGGGCATCCAATTACAGTATAAACACAATGCTAAGTAACTACTATCCTAGGCAAAGTACAGAATGCCGAATACATGTATAAAGTACCTAGTACTTTATCAAAATTTTGGAGTCTGAGATGCAGGAAAATATTTTTTTGGCAGACGGAGAAATGATTACTTCTAAAATTTTACATTTACTTATTATTTTATTGTGTGTGTGTGTGTGCACGTGCGTGCACGTGTGTGCGCTACAGCATGAGTATACAGCTCAGAGGACAACTTTTGGGAGCTGGTTCTCTTCTTCTACCCTGTGGATTCTAGGGATCAAACTCAAGTCATCAGGCTTGGCAGCAAGTGCTCTTACCTGCGAGTTATCTCACTGGTCCAAATGATCATTTTAATACAATTCACACATATTGTTCAATACTGAAGGTCATTATGTCATTTAAGTTTTTATTTAAAATGAAAGTCTTTATTTACCTATGAAATGATCACTAAAAGAAATACACACCATGTATGAATAAGGTATAAAAACAGGTCCTCCTTATAACACATAAGAAACAGAATTTAACCACTTGTTTTGCATGCTTTTATTTTTGGGAGGATAACCTGCAAATCACAGCAAGCCTCATTTGGTTTTACTTTGTCCTTCTTCCTAGTTTAGGGCAAAATGGTACTTAATAAGTCTCTATCAACTTCACATTTACTTGCTCCCAACAGAAACAGGCTGGCTACAGGAACCCCACAAAGTGGTAACTGGGGGAAGAAAGGAGTCAAGGACAACACACAGTTTAGAGCTGTGTCCTCTTTCTGCTGCGTGCAAAAAGGTCTTGGTTTAGCCTATGTGTCCTTCCAAGGTAAGAAGACGTTGGTAAGGCTTGGGGTTATGTTCTCCCTCCTGTGAGGTTTTCTTTCCTTTCTACTGCATCCCCATTGTTAGAGATTTGAAGCTGTCTTCCAAATCTGTTTCAGTAAAATAGTATACAGTCTTCGTTCTGTCTCCCTAGATACTGTACGCAAGGTATCCATTTTCATGGCCTATAAAAATTGGAGCAAGAAGCATTTAAAGGTACCAGGGATCATTATTCCAGTTCCACAGCTGTTAGACCAAGGCAGGTGGCCTATGATACCTGATATGACGATCTCAGGGACATCCAGAATGTTGCCAAAGGAAGCGGTTTTACGGTGGCCCCGTTTAGGCTTGGAATAGGCTGCAAAAACACATACATACAGTATACATGCAAACAACCACAAATAGTAACATGGAAAACGACTACAAAACAGGAGAGTTCTCAATAGTCATGTTAATAACGTCTCATGCAGACGGTCATGCAGGACTATCTAACTTTTCCACCATGCTCAGAGAGGTGCAACTGAAGAGCAAACAACTAACAGTACAAGTTTCACATACTGGTTTTAATTAACAGGGAAAACAACAACAAAAGACAGACAAAGCTGCAGGGTAATGAGAAAGCTAGGTTTCAGATGTGTTCAAAGAAATCCTCTATCTAAGTGAAGTGAATGATGTTTGGTGAGGGTAGGAAAGGGAGGGACGGAGGGTAGAGAGGGGTTAGTTACATAAGTTGTCGTATTTGTTCTAATCACACAAACATAGGAAGAGATCTTAAAGTTAGGTGCTTCTTGGAGTGTGCTATAAAGTAAAATTCAGTGATTACACAATAGATACCAAATCAAATCACAAAATGCATGTTTTCCTAAGTACTTCTACATTATTTCTAATAAACTGGATATTTACTATAGTTTTCAAAGTCTAGGGTATATAACTAGCAAACATTAAGGCTGTAAAAAGCTGGATATCTTTTAAAATAAGACAAATCATTAAAAATTCAAATTATGTAAAATTCAAAGGACGTACAATAGCATTTGTCCTCCATTTAGGTACAGAGAAAAAGGTAATTTATATGTGTATGGTTATCTATCCTTAAACTAGTAAAATGTCATTGCTATAAAGAGTAATCATAAACCTGTATCTGATTAGAAAAATAATATTAGCAAAAGTATAGAACTATGATTGTAACACTACTTTCCATTTTAGGGTGGAATCATTATTTTAAGTGTCCACCTTGAGTAACATCCCTGAATGCATGGCTGTTGACCTCTACTCAATTTGATTCTTCCTGTAGATCTCCTTGGGGCAGAGACTGCTAGCTCCCTGCTAATCTCTATCCCTTTCTTCTTTGCAATGAACTCTGACTTTATTTAGCAGACAGTAATGTTGTAAGGTATGTGTAAGTCATCTGACCACGTTACTCTGGCCAATGATATCTATGTGGAAGTTGTTATGGAAAGCTCCTTGAAGGAGCTTGGCTGCTCTTTTATTCTTCCTTATTTCTTCTTTCCTGCTACCTGGAATGTGGAAGCAATGAGCTGAACTGTAGCAGCCACTTTGAACCACAAAGTAATCTTGAAGACACAAAAGTACAGGAAAACACTTGGAGCTTACCTAGATTTGTCTATGCAAGACAAAGAAAGTGCTAGTTGATAAAAATCAGCGATTGTGATTAGTTAAGACAAATACAGTGTGTCAGTTCATGTGAACTACTACCGTCTGAAAGAGCAACACATACAATATTTTATTTAGAAAACAAACAACTAAGTAAAAAATACTAGAATTACATACTTAAATGCATATGTAATTAAAAGTAGAAGCCAATACACCAAAATGTTAGGTATTTATCTCTCAGGAGAATTATGCGATTTTGTTTGTTTACACTTCCACATTCTCCTTAACAACGTGTTTACTTTTATAATCTTTTTTTTCTACCCTTGGAAGAATTAGAAACAACAAAATAAAGCCCAAACTAAATTGGCATTACTAAAATGAAGTCTGGCTAGAAAGTGTGGTCAGTTCAGCAAGGTAACAAAACATGTCACTGTTTTTATGCTAAGTAGCACACCTATTAGTAAGAATTTTAGGAACTGACAGAATGAGATTTACTCTCTTATTTCATCATTAAGTGAATTATCTACAACCTGCTTAGGTGTTTTTGTCACTGAAAGGATGGAGCAGACAGTAAGGCTGAATCATAATGTGATCTGGAGTACAATTTCCTGCCAATTAACTTTTTTTTTTTGAGTTCAGTATCAAAACCTAGTAGAATCATTCAAAAACCTGGCAAATATTCTGGCGTTTACCAAATTTTAGTTTCTTAGACTTTGAGCTCATGTTTGAGTGGAATTACTTTTGATAAAATCTGTTACTAGAAGATATACTTTATAATCTACATAAAATCTCAAGCCATACTTCTCTTATTTTGAATCTAATGTTGATTGCTTAGAAATAATACTATAAAACTGCTGTTTGAAAAAATATACGACTCCCCCCGCCCCCATATCCCCACTAAGGACAACAACTCCCAGGCCGAGCGGAGGATGGCACCTGCTCTCACTCCTGTGTATCTGCAGGTCCTTTTTACCTGTGGTCGCAGCAATCCTCGCTTCTATTTCAGACATGTCAGCACTCATCCTCTTGCCCTCTGAGGCTGGGGGCAAACTCTCCACGCTGCTCCCACGGGAGGCTCCCAAGCTCAGTCGTCCAGATTCACTCTGTCAAAAATCAGGTTAGTCTGAATTACATTTAGAAATCTGGGCAGCTGAGAAAGAGAAAGATGCAAGTGGGATTCTTATGGCTACTGTGTGGCTCTGAAAGAGGGACCTTTACAGTGAGAGGGAGGTAAGGGGGAGTAAGCTCAGATACAAGCTACTCAAAACAATTTTAAGGGGCTGGAGAGATGGCCCTACAGTTGCGAGCACTTGCTTTACTCTCAGAAGACCTGGATTTGGGTCCTAGCCCCCACATGGCAGCTCACAAACAACCCCTGTAACTCCAATTCCAGGAGATTCAATGCCCTCTTCTTGCCCCTGAGGACATCAGACACGAATGTAATGCATATATATGGACACAGGCACTCACACAAACACATAAAATAAAAATAAAGCTTAAAAAATTTAGATCAACAACGGCCACAATACAACAAACTTGAACAGGATGAAATGATAGATTTAAAAGAACTTCTTAAACTGGGGACATAGCCAAAACGTACCCATTTTACATTTTTAATAGAACCACTAACTAGGGACGTATCACAGGGAGGACGCTGCAAAGTTGGCAACAGAAGTCAAAAGAAAGGAAAACATTTTGTTTGATAATAAACAGCAGGAAAATTTCATGTCTCTCATCTTAAGCTCATCTGGGTCAGGAAGAAGAGTCAGGATTATACAATAGAAGGAGACAAATAATTAATTCAGTTAGCTTAATGTTCTGACTTCTGGTAAGACAGCCATGCAATTTTACTTTTAATAATAACAAACCTGTTGCTTTGCCTGATTTTTCAGCAATTTTGACTCTAAGCGTTTAATAGTATCATTTGTGGCAGGAACTTGCTCCATATTAGTGTCACTTTTATTACTGGTATTTGTAGAAGCAATGTCCATGAATGAGCCTAGGAAAGCAGAAACATTTGTGACTACAGGTTGCGAATAATACAAATGCCTTATTTGGATAATATATCACTTAAATTTGTTGTGAAATTGGCAAGACCTAAATAAAAACAAAACAAGACTTTCATACTAATAAAGTCATTTTAAATGAAAATTACAAAGACTACAAAAAATAACCAACTAAATAATCACGAATAACTTAAGGTTCCTGCCCTGAAGCAGAAGAACAGAGATGGAGAAACAGAGGATGAGTAGTTTAAAGAGTGTTCCTAGAACTCAAATAGGAAAGCACCAAGTTTGAGTTCTTACTAGATATCAAGAAAGTAGTCAGACCTATAAGGGTGAGGTCAGGTATAAGTTGAAGACAAATACCAGTAAACTAGGTAGACAGAAAACCTGGTGCCTGTAGACGTAACCAAGAAAACAGACCTGGGTAAATATGCAAAGAAGTCAACTGCTCTGAGCCCTCTGCACTCTGCCATTTTTAGTTTAGGAAATGAGACAAGTCCAGCAAAGAAAACCAAGAACAAGATGGAGATGTGGCTCGGTAGTAGAATGCCTGCTTATGAGCACACACAAAACAAAACAAAACAACAAAACAAAACATGAAATAGTAACGAAACCTAAAAAAATCTGATGAGAAATGTAACATGAAACTCAAAACTACTACCGGATCCTGGTCAGCAACTGAAGAAGGAGCTGTAAGGAGAGAGGAATGAACTGTGTCAGACACTGCTTAGGGCCACATGGGAACACAGAATCCCACTTAGATCTAGTAATACAGAGATAACTGGTGACTTAAGAACAATTCTGGAGCAGCAGTGTAATGAAGGCTAAGTGGAGCTGGTGCAAGAGAACAGGAGGGGAGAGAAGTTAGCGAATGTCTGTTCTTGGAATGCTCCCAGTAGAAAGGCTAAAATTCATGAAAAAAAAGAGAAAGATCATTGCCAGGAAGGGCAGATGAGTATAATGCACAAGTAAAAAGTCTTGCTAGTTCAGCCATATAATAATAGAAAACAGAGTTGATAAGCATGAATGTGAGTAGGTACACAGACACACGGGTACTTTGTGGAAGTTGTCTTCTGATCAGTCAAATTTTCTTAATGAGCAAACAAGGTCAGCTGACAGTGTGGACAGGAGAGTTTAAGGAAAGGGGCTAAAGTATAAAACTAAATAATCTAGAAAAGAGGAGCTGGAGAAAAATATTGTACAACTGTCAGCAACACTAAGCACATATTTGAGGACCGTCAACATGTGCTGTTTCTGGCCACACTTAGCTGCACTGAAACAGTCAAGGAGCAAGCTCAGTGTCAGAGCCAATCAGGCCCATGACTTAGTTAGGCAAGTCTGAGAAAGATCCATTGCTGGAATGATTCCCAAGGGATCAGAACTGTAGACCAGACTTAAGTGAGGGAGAAAGGAAAGAAGTGCCTTGGAGGAGGGCTGGGAGTCAGTGACAAGGCAGCAGGACCAACAGCTGAAGGCCCAGGATGGAGAGAAAGAAAGATGCAATGATGTCATTCTGGATGGGCTCACTGTACAATTCAGAGCATGTTTCAGGAAATAGGAATCTGAATATCTAGCCCAACAGTAAGCAGCTGGAAACAAACAAGTAAAGCCATTCTCAAAGGGGGAAATAGACCAGTGAAAATGTTAGTAACAAATGAAAAAACAAAGTACAGTGTGTGTGTGTGTAATTAATTATCTCTAGATGTAATTAAATTGGCAGGACACTTATTTTGAGAAGTATTTTTCTAAGTTACAGAGTTAGGGTATTAACTCTACTATTTTAGAGTACTATTTCTACTATTTTTTGATGGCTTCCAACTACCATTTATTTCTACTTCATATTTTAGAAAACTAAAGTTGTAACTAAAACACAGCTTCTTACATAAATAAATCTCTTTATAAGAAAACCAAAAAGTATGATGTTAGTAATCAAGGAATTTAACATTTAGTTTGTAGTACAATTTGACCTAACAACGTCCAGATAAAAACACTTGGGTGTGGTGACATATTATCTTTAATCAGAGAACTCAAGAATCTAAGGCAGGGGGACCAGGAGTTTGAGGCTACCCTGGGTAACAGGGATGAGTTCTATGTGAGCTCGGACTATAAAGAAAGACCTTGCCTTAAGGAACCAAAATTAAGAATGAAATTAAGAATGATATTTACAGCAGTACAATACTCAATCTTTTTAGACTTAACTATGTAAGAATTCTAAGACTTGAAAGCAGGTCTTAAATAATTCTTTAATCTAGTAGGGTACCTTCACGAAGAGGGAGGCACCTGGAAACTCAAATTGCAGTCAGTCATAAGAAATGAGGAATTAAGATGCAAATGGGGACATCACTCATTGCTACTTGACTGTAACTTCAGGGGAACAGACCGCCCCCCCCCCAAAAAAAAAAGCTTAAACAGAATTAAAAATTGAGATGTTATTCTTCTCTTTTTTTGGTCTTTTTGAGACAGGGTCTCCCTGTAGCCCCAGCCGGTATGGAACTCATTATGTATACCAGGCTGGCCTTGAACTCAAGAGATCTGCCTGCCTCTGCCTCCGAAGTGCTGGGATTAAAGGCCTTTACCACCACGCCTGGCTCTGAATGTTATTCTTCAATCCATCCATTTACCTGTACTGGTGGCCGAGTTGCTCTGTCCTTCATCAGAATACTGACAAGGGTACTGTAATGGCTCATCTGCTCCTGGAAAGTACTATATATATATAAAAAAACAAATCAAAATTTAAAATTTCTTTAACACAGATTAAACCCTTTTCAAATTAACTGAAGAACACATCTGCACTATTTCCTTATTTTTACCAAGCAGATGCTGCTTTATTTTCCCTAATGTGTAGTCTGAATTTGGAGGCTTGTTTTCAATTTTACAAAGTGGTGACACACACTCCTTTTGGAACACTAGCTGTGAACAGTATCATTTACCTACCTAAGCACCTAGATTATAGGGTCAAGAGAGTCTTGAAGAAAAAAATCCTCTAGAGAAGTATATGGAATAGAATAGTAACATTTCTCAGAATTTCATGAAACACATTTATGTTTTCGTAACAGTAACAGACACTTTCAAATCACTACAGTGACTGTTAGCTTGACAACTGGAACTGGCATACCACTGAACCGTTGTTAGATCTAATTTTTTTTTTTGTATACTTGTGAAATTGAGATTTGTTTAAGATATAGGAAAATCTCCATTTTTGAAAAAAACAGAAAACAAACAGTTCCATGGGGATAAGGAGTTTGCAGATTTCATAGAAAATTCAAATCTGAATTCATTTTAGAGAGATACTAAGCAGGCAGGAGTGAGAGCTGGGTATGCAGGAAATCAATTTCAATTAGAGCAGAGACTTTCTGATTATCTTTCAGGATTCAGCTATAGATGGTCTAACATTTTAAACATCAAGCAGGTAAGATATGGATGCCTTTCGTGAATCTAAGACATAATACTGAAATTATTTTCTGGACAAAAAACTGAAAATTTAGGGGGAAAGAAATTCTCAAAGCACAGGTGAGCATATTTATCCACTGAATAATCTATACAGCCCCAAATTTTAAGTGTATGAACTTAAGTCAAAGTTAGCACCTGATGGTTTTTATTAGTGTTCTAAAAACTAAAAGCATAAAGTATTTGAAATAATCTGAAAGTGCTTAATTTCCAACATAGAAAAATTTGATTATCTCTTAAAAAGTGTTCTTTTAAATTAAAATATTTCATTAGTCCTAGAAAAAAAAACTCAGTTTTTATTGGCATGTGAAAACCTTAAAAAAAAAGCAATCAAAAGTGAATACAGTAAAAATTATTCAAATAAATGTCTTAGAATAGAATGCCCAGGTTCCCTGTATAAATGACTAAATTTTGATGACAATATGATGAGCACTTAAAAGTTTGTGTTAGCATGTTATTAGCCATGCTATATGTAAGCCCTGCAAAAGCTTTAGCTGTTGCATGGGTCAGTTTCTCTTACTATCACTGAGTAACAGGCCCAGAGACAGATAGATTTGTCTATAAATGCTAGTATAAAATATGAAGTCCAGAAACCTAATCTAATCATTTCTATGAGAAAGAGCTAGATTCTTTTTCTAATGTTCCCTCTTCTGATTTTATGAACGCCTATTTTAAGTTTAAAAATACAAAAAAGAATAATGCAAAAAAGTCAGTATCTACTTTATTTTAAAAGCCCATCAAACCTCAGCATATATTAAATTCCTCTAAACCCAAAGCCCCTCAAAAGAAGGATTATACCCGCATCAAGTGAGTCATAATTTTCACAATTTCCTCCATCGAAGGGCGCTGAGAAGGATCTTTAGACCAGCAACGAGTCATCAGGCTCTCAATGGGCTTAGGTAAATTTTTGATCAGTGGTGGTCGAGTACCTATAATTGAAAATCAGAGAAATGAAAAAATTACCCAAAGAATGGTGCAGGCTTTGTGTAGGTATTTCTTAAGCAATACTGGGTTAGTAAAAACTTATTTTTTTTTGCTTTCTAGTTACCATTTATCCTATCTACATATTTTTTCATAAAGGACAAACTATTCAAGCTACACTGAAATTTTTAACACATTTTGGTAATAGTAACACTGACAGCTAGTAATATTTGACTTGTTATAAACATTCTTTTAACAAGAAGCAAAGGTTTAATGTGTTTTTTATTGAGAAAAACAAAATAGTGGCTGAGGAAAACCTTATCTCAATTTTCAGACTGCAAAATTTTCAAATGTGTTTCAAAATTCATTTTCCAAGCATAAAAGGTGATTAACTGTGGTGACACACTGACTTCCCTTTCAGTTGCCATTAATTAATCATTTCGCACACTGAAGACTGCCAACATGGTATAATTTAACAAGTTCCTAACAGTACTGATAAGGCCCCCACTTAAGAGTGGCTTCAAATACAAATGAGACCTTGGTGGTTTAATCAGTCAGCAAGTGTGTTCTTTTACTCTGTTTTTTGCTGACAAGTGACTCTTGGCCAAGGCTCTTGTACCTTCTACAAGGACACTACAGGTTGTATCATTAAAGGTGGTACAGGAAGCTGACAAAACAGCTAAGATTACTCCAGTGTTGGTTTTGTTTGGCCAGTCTATGAATGATGTTAAGTTAGGCATTTGTTTTTAATCATCTGTAGAATAGTATTCAAAAATTCACTAATCAAAATGACCACAGTCAAGAAAGAAAAATGAAATAACAGTGCTGCTGCACTTAGGAAGATGACTTAATTTTTCTTCATAAAGAGTTTTTTAATCCAAAAAAAAAAATGTGAAGTAACTTAGTAAAGAAGATATATTCTAACACATATATGGACGGCTAAGTCCACTTCATCAGAGGTACACGAGGCACATAAAGGTCACAGAACGCTGAGTCCAATACCTAATTCGGAGTATTTGAGTCAGAAAGATCCAAATTTGAATTGCAACTCCATCTCTTACTAATCATGACATTGGGCAAGTTCTTTAACCTTTCTCAGTCTTAGTCTCCTAATGTGTACCATCAGGAGATAGAGCTTGCCCCATTAAGTATGTTGAAAATATAAAATAAAGCAACATAAAGTATTTTGTGTTTTGTCTTTCTGAGCTTATGCAGTGTGATGGTTTGAATGAGAACACTCCCCATAGGCTCTAAGTATTTGGACATTTTGTCCTCAGTTGGTGGGGCTGTTTTGGGAGGTCTTAGAAGGTGTGGATATACTGGAGGAAGCACATCACTGAGGGCTTAGAGAGTTCTTAAGCCTTGCTGGATCTAGAGTCATCTCTTGCATCCTGTGCCTACTTTGAAGGTGTGAGCTTAGCTTCCACTCCTCCTCCAGCCACCTCCTGCCACCATGCCTCCCCACTGCGATAGGCTGTAATTCCTCTGGAACCGTATAAATGCTCCCTTCTATAAGTTGCTTTGGTCAGTGTTTCTATCATAGCAACAGAAAAAAGTAACTAATACAGTAATTAATTGGTACTGGAGAGTGGGCTGTTTGCTGTGAAGAATCTGACCATGTGGGGTGTTGGAGGAATGTGGAAGACTTGGAAGACTTTGGAAGCTTGGGCTAGAAAAGCAGTTGATTGCTGTAAGCAGAGCCAACAACAGGTCGTGCTAGTAGGTGCCTAGAAGAAAATAGTGCTGAGAACAATGCTGTTCCAGAGGGAAATAAGAACTTAAGCAGCAATTGGAATATTTTGGCAAAGAGTCTAGCTGGAGTCTGCCCACAGCCAAAAAGCTTGCCTGAGGATAAGCTGAAAAGCAATGGACTAATTTCTCTGGTAGAAGAAATTTCAAGACAGCCTAATGTAGAAATGGTGGTGTGGCTATTAATAATGAATATTATGTAGATCTACAGTGAAAAAGAGCAAATGGGGCAGAAAGAAATACAGAATGTATAGTTTGGATCAAAAAAGAGCATTAGGAAGATTAATATTGGCGTTCAAGGCATGTGCTGGAGAGGATCCCTTTGATAAGGAGATCAAAGTGATTAAGGAGAGGCCCACAGATTTGTACTTAAACAATGGAGAGGGTGCCTCCAGGGCAAGACCACATCCAGCTAAGCCTCCAACTTGTGAAAGGAAAATGCTGTAGGGGCCACTGAAGAGAAAAGCTTCTAAAATAGATAAAGCAGGCTGGGGTCCATCCCAAACTTGTAGCCAAACTTGGCAATTTTGTTCACCAGGTGCTGGCTTTAGAGGCATGAAAAATGTAACAGTGAAGGGTCATTGGGTCTTCCTCAAGGTTTCTGAGTGCCACCGAGTCAAGGCAGCGTGCAGCAGGGGTGCTTCTGCATAGCCCTGGAAGGCCATATCGTGAAGCTGTGAGGGTGAAGCCTCTTGGCAATGGAGACCCCAGGAAGATGTTCATGATGCCAGAGCTGTGAGGCATCTGCCAAGAAGACCTGCATACAGGGAATGGTACTAGCCCAAGAGAGAGGCTGAGCCATCTAAGCCCTTTGGAGAAAAGTCCCAGAAGTCAGACATGGAGCTACTGGATTTGGTGTTTGTCCTGCTAGCTTTTGGTTTTGTTTTGGTCCAACCAGTATCTCCTCACTATGCCTCTATTCCTCCCTTTTTAGAATAAGAATGTGTATTCAGTTCCACTGTATGTTGGGAGTATGTAATTTGTCTTTTGATTTTACAGGAGCTTACAGTTAAGCAATTTCCCTGAGTCTCAGAAGAGAGTGGACTTTTGAGTAGCATTGAGACTGGTAAAGACTGAGGACTTTTAAGGTTGGACTAAATGCATTTTGCATTTTATATCATGAGCCTATGGGGGCCAGGGAGTGGAATGTCATTGTTTGAATGAGAATGTCCCCCATAGGCTCCAAGTATTTGGACATTTTATCCCCATTTGGTGGTGCTGTTTTGGGAGGTCTTAGAAGGTGTGGCCATGCTGGAGGAAGCACATCACTGGGGGCGGGCTTAGAGAGTTCATAAGCCTTGTCAGATCTGCTCTCTTGCTTCCTGTGCCTGCTTGAAGATGTGAACTACTTTCTGTTCCTGTTCCAGCCACCTCCTGCCACCATGCCTCCTTGCCATGATGGATTGTAATTCCTCTGGAACCCTAAGCTCAAATAAATTCTTCCTTCTATAAGTTGGTCAGTGTTTCTATCACAGCAAGAGAAAAGTAACTAATACATGTAGCAACTCTTATGAGTAGTTTTTTTTTTTCTCTCCTTGGTAAGATATTTGCTCCCAAGGAGATAGTTTCTCAATTATCTTAACAGATATTTTATGTACTTTTTTCCCAATGCATCTATATTCCTGAGAGAGAGACTGCAGGCTTTGGCTAAGTATTGATAGCCTATCTCTAATTAGTGCAGCCAGCAAATATCAGCAGCCCCATGTAGTCTGGACTGCTCTCAGTACTACCCTGCTCTAATGCCACCCTGCTGGAACTGGAGGAAAGGACAAAGAGTGTTTTGTAAAAGGCAGTCAGTCTGGAAACAATTATACAGTCTAATGTTAAGAGATATATGGTCTTCTCTGGGCAGGAGGACAGGAACAATATTCTAAATGGGAAATATACAAAATACACTGAAAAATTTTCTTTTTACAAACCATTGTGAACAGCCCACATGATTCGGAAAGCTGGGCCACCAATCTCATCAAAGGGTTTCCGCCGTGTTATCACCTCCCAAAGGATAATCCCCCAGCTGAAGACGTCACATTTTTCACTGTAATTGCTACCTACAAAAAAGAGTATTATAATCGAGACCTTTTTTTCCCCAAATAAATTACAAAAAATGGCTTCACAAATTTTAAGGATGGTATCTTGAACAGAAACAAGAGACTATCAAACAATTACTCTTTCTAATGTAACTTAAATGCTTTCAACAAATACATTTTAGTATATTAAATAAAAATAATACACTAAAAAAATACCCCAGAAAGTCAGTTATTATCTGCCTTTTTCATCAAGAGGTACAGACATTTTGTTTGTGTAGACTCACAGACTGATACTTTCACTGGGCAGAGTATGGGGCAGATTATAAATGTCTTTATATTTCTTTCTGCAATTTTTCAAAAAAAATTTTTAACAGTGCAGGTTTGGGGACTGATCCTAGGGTTTTGTTTACACAAAGCAGGTGTTCTACCACTGAACTGTATTATCAGCCCCACATTTGTTAATCTTATTTTTCCACTCTCTGATAGATGACAGCACTTTCTGCTACTGAAGTAAAGGATAGTTCTAATTACTGACTTCCTCCTTAATATACAGTTAAAATTCTTAATTTAAAAACTAAAAAGAAAATTCAAGCAAATTCTGAAGAATATTCATAGTACTAACATGGCAGATAAATCAGCATAATAAACAGATCTAAAACCATCACTACTATCATCAACCAAAAAAAGAAAAAAAAACAAAACAAACCTACACCCCAATTATTACAGTGATAGATTTACATGCTTAGGCTATAGGTGTTTCTTGATGAAACCTTACAGAAATTTACATAGCCTAATAGTCTGGGTTTTGATGCCCTCAAAATACTATTACTTTGCAAAAACAAACTTCTTTCTTTTCTAATTACAATAACATGCAAGGCACAGAAAGTTACATTAAATAAGTGAAGGACTTTAAGAGATGGCATATGCATGATGGATACGAAACAGAAGTCATTTAAATTTATGCAAGTAAACATCTATAGTTCATCTGTTTTTAACTGGACTTTAGGAAAAACAGTTCTAATCAGGTGACTGGCTGCATAGCATTTGCTCTTTCTCTGGGGTGCCTATAAACAAAGAAACAAAAAAAACTTTAAAATTCACTGTCCTAGTATGTTTCTTCATTGCTGTGACCAAACATTCTGACCATTACCAACTTGGGGAGGAGAGGGTTTATTTAGCTTACATCTCCCAGGTCACAGTTTATCAGGGAGCCCAAGGTAGGAACTCGGGGCAGGAACCCGGAGGTGGGAGCTGGAGTGCAGGCCATGGAGGAATGCTGCTTACTGGCTTGCTCCTCTGGCCCCTGCTCAGCCTGCTTTCTTATACAACACAGGCCTACCTGCCCAGGGGTGGCACCACTCACAGTGGGCTGGGCCCTCCCACATCACTCAACAGTCAAGAAGGTGCCCCACAGACATGGTCACAGGCCAGTCCTATGCAGGAAATTCCCCAACTGAGGGTCCCTCAACCCAGGTGTGTCAAGATGACACTAAAGCTATCCAGCACATTTATCAACAATAAAAGAAATAAGCCCTCACCAGAGTCTGATACCTGAATGTTTTTAAGTATTATGGGCATTCCAGGCATTTGCACAAATGGGAATTCATAGTAGTCACCTACCTCAGCTCAATGTCTCTCTTTTAAAAAAGAATTTGATGTTTTTATACAGAAACTTTAGTATGTAATTCATGAACTATTCTTTCAAATTCTACCAAATGAACAGTAGAGCTAGAAAGAGAAAATGTAAGCTGATCCTTTATTTGTAGTTCTTCATGTCTTATCTGTGCCCAATGACTTGCATTGATTTTTAAAATTTTTTTATTTTTTTAATTAAAAAATTTTTTGACTTGCATTCTTTTTAAGGCATGCTGGTTTAAAATTTAGGGTTATCCTTTTTTAAATTTTATTTATTACTTTTGTTTTATGTGTATGAGTGTATTGCTTGCATGTAAGTGCACCCATGTGATGCAGTGCCATGCAGGTCAGAACAGAATGTTGGATCCCCCTGGAACTGGAGCTATGGATGACTGTTAGCTGCCAAGTGGGTGCTGGGAATGGAATCCTGGTTCTCTGCAAGAGTAACCAGTGTTCTTAACCACTGAGCGATCCCTCCAGTAAAATATTTTATATATTATCATTTTTCGATGTGTATAAATGTACTGCCTGTAAGTGTACCCATGCTGTGCAATGTCCATGGAGATCATAAGAGGGCATCAGATCCCTTGGAAATGGAGTTAGGGATGGTTGTTAGCCTTGATGTGAGTGTTGGGAAACAAACCTGAGTCCTCGGCAAGAACAGCTAATGCTCTTAACCACTGAACCATCTTTCCAGCCAGGGCTATTAGCTCTTAACTGCTATCAAACCAGTGCAGAAGCACTGCTGACTCTCCTCAGCTGGCACTTGTATTCTACTAAGATGTCTGTCTCCATAACCAGGGACTCGCTGCTCCTAAAGGCAATACGGGAACAAGTTCTCATGTGTCTTTGTTCACAATTTTTTTTTGTCAATTAGTCATTACATGACCCTTGTTTTGTGTGTGTTTAAAGACACTTTGTTTAACACATTCCACTAATTCATCAATGTTGACTCAATGGAACTATGAATGCACATCTTTGTACTGCACAGATGTTAATTTAAACTTTGCCTTAAAACTTGGGATCTTAAGCTATATATTTTATACACTGTGAAGAAACAAAACCACGGAGATGGAGGAAATCTACAAACACGTGCTGGAGTTACACGAAGGTGGATTACAGCTGCGTTGTGTTTCTGCCACTATACCTTCAAACACTTCGGGTGCCATCCACGCAGCACTCCCTTTGTTATTGGTCATGTGTGTCTGAATGTCACAAGCTGTACCAAAATCACAGATTTTTAGAACTGTCCCCCCTGCAACCAGCAGCAAGCTGTTAAAAAAAAAAATCAGAAGTTATAAAGTCAATATTTGATTTTACAATAAAAGAAGCATTTATGGAAATGGGCAATGTTAGGCAAAAATGAATGTTATCATTAAATTTCATAAAAGGTTACCTGATCACTGTAATGGCCTACTAATTCAGAGGAACATCAGCAAAAATTAAATGACCAGACCCGTATTTTGATGTCTCAAGCTCTAGCTCCATAGTGTGTCCTGATAGCTGAATTTCCCTCTAGCCAAACTGAGTATGCAGTTTAAAAACCCTCCTATAGTTCAACATTAATGTGTCCTGAAATGGGAGGTTAACCATAAACACAACTAAAAAAATAACATACAGTTTAATTGAAAATAAAGTAACACCAATATAGAAGGAAAATTATGGTATCATCCATCCATCCATCCATCCATCCATCCATCCATCCATCCATCCATCCATCCACCCATCCACCCACCCACTACTTTCGTAGTGTTGGAAACTGAACCGAGAGTATAGTGCTCTACTGGCTGAGCTACATTTCCAGACCAATGGTTCTTATTTAATTTTGATGGTACTTCAAAACCTGTTCAAACTCAAAACCACTTAAATGAAAATTTATGAATGTTTTTGCCTGCATGTATACAAGTGCATGATGTATGTGCAGTGCCTAGAGAAGTGAGAAGAGGTTGTCAGAACTGAAGTTACTGATGGTTGTTAGCTACCATGAGTGCTGGGAACCAAATCTGAGTCCTAGTGCTCTTAACCACTGAGTCACCTCTCCAGTGCCTCCAAACCACTTCTGAATTTAGAATGTGTATGCGTGGGATGAGTCAATCTACTATGACTAAGAATAAAAGAGTGTTAGAAAATTTTCTCAATTTCACATTTCTAGGAGCTATTACTCAACAATAATTACTAAACAGTATGCCTTTACTTAGAATGTTTTGCTTTTGATAATAAACAGAAAAAATGGAAATAGTTCACAAAATATGCATAATCACCTACAAAATAATGGAAACTCATTTTAATTATAAACTTTATTAAAACTGTATACAATTTTCTACTTTAGCTAGAGAGGTTTAGAAAATTCTCTTTTAATTCAATGTGATTACAATAAGACAGACAACCTCCTATTCACATTATTATACTACCAAAAATATTTCTGATATCATTCAAGTGCAAAAAGGGCATAATGCACCTTCCTTCCATATGAAGCAGTCCTCTATTATGCAACGGAACGGCAAAATTCCCATTTCACTGTTTTTGTTCCACACTTGTCCATTTGTCTTTTGTTCATTTACTTACTTATTTTTGGAAATGAGGTTTCACTATGTAGATCAAGCTGGCCTCAATCGCACAGAGATCTGCCTGCCTCTGCCTCCCAAATGCCTGCACAAGACTATGCCACCAGCTCAAACTCTGGTGCTCTTTACTCAAGACAACTGAAAAGGCTGTGCCTGGCTTCACTGTTTCATTCTCTTACATTCGATACATTCCAATAATCCTTCTTAATGACTTTCATATTAGTATTCCGTCACTGAAAGGATTTTAATAATTCGCCAGCCCATAACATGTCTTTAAGGCTTACTGAAATCTAAATTATCTTTGCAGGCTTATTTTCATAAAGTCTAAAAATATGTTAATTTCTGATATACATATGAATGAACTTCCAATAGGTAAATGAGAACACAGTTTGATACTATAAAACCTGGGCTGGTACGATGGCTCAGGCTTGACTTGAGTTTGCTTCTTGGAACCCACGTGGGTATGTGCTGGATAGCTTTAGCTGTCAACCTGACACACCTCCACCTGAGTGGAGGGAAACTCAACTGAGGAATTTCCTTCATTGGACTGGCCTGTGGCCATGTCTGTGGGATACTTTTTTGATAGCTGAGTGAAGTGGGAGGGCCCAGCCCACTGTGGGAGGCACCACCCTTGGGCAGGTGGTCCTACGTCATATAAGAAAGCAGGCTAAGCATGGGCCAAGAAGCAAGCCGGTAAGCAATGCACCTCCATGGTCCGTGCTTCAGTTCCTGCCCTGAGCTCCTGCCCTGGCAGTAAGCTGAAAGTGAAATAAACCCTTTCCTCCCCAAACTGGTTTTGGTCAGTGTTTTATTTCAGCAGAGAAGAAGCAAACCAGAATATGGTGATGGGGGAACCCATTCACATTCAAACATGGCATGAACATTTACAAAAAATAGAATAAGACAGGCTGCAACATCTTGCAGACATATATACACACATACATACCTAAGTATAAAATCCTTCACCATATCGTCAATTGACTTTTTTTTTAAGGTTGAGGAGACTGAACACTGTGCATGTTAGGCATGTGAACTAGACATTCTGAGCCCTCTACTTTTCGTTTTAAGATAGGATGTCACCAACTTGCCCAGACTGTCACTTAACCTACTTTGTAGCCCAAGTTGGTCTTGAACTTGTGATCCTCCTGCCTTATACTTTTGAGTAGCTAAGACTACAGGCCTGTATTATCAGGCTCAGCTTAGCTACTTTTGGGAACTCTTGATGGATTACATAATCTGGAGGTCTCCCATTTACAGTAAGATACAGCAGGTACATATACTCAATTGTACATAGAAAGTATTGTTATAAATTTTTTTCTTTGGGCTGGAGAGATGGCTCAGCAGTTAAGAGCACTAGTTGCTTTTACAGAGGACCCAGGTTCAATGACCAGCATCCACATGGCAGCTAACAACCGTCTGCAACTCCAGTTCCAGGAGAATCTGACACCCTGTTTTGACCTCCATGGGCACTGCAAAACATGGGTGCATTTATATACAGGCAGGTAATATACTCATACACATAAAATAAAAATAATAATAAAATATTTAAAATTTTTTTTCTCTTGATTTTGAATCCACTTCCCTTTTAAAAGTTGCCTTTAAATCACTATGTATGTATACGAGGCTGGACTTGAACTTACAACAACCCTCCTACCTTAGCCTCCTGAGTACTGATTACAGGTATAAACAACCATGCCCAGCTTGATTTTGAATCCTTTTAATTTTAGTAAAAGGTATTGGTTTATCTAGTTAGATTGACTAAACCTGAAACTTCAGGGGTATGGCTGAATGGAGACTAGGAAGAGTTTAAACTGTGTAACTAATGCAATATAAAAGATGCCAGAAAATGGAAGTGGCATCCCTTTCTCTCTATAGTCACTCATCCAAAACTAAAACATACCCTACAGTAAATGAAAAGGGATACCTTTGGATGCTGCATCTGAAGGCTTCAGCTCCTCCGGGAAGAAACTGCTTTGTGCCTGAGGCTTACTTATATTCTTTCAATCATTAGTCAATGTGCCATTGGTCAACAACTATGATTCTCATTATTCTGCTTTAAGAATTCAACTGTTTTAATACAGGGGAATATTCATAAACAAAAGGCTGTGGGATTTATTTCTACTTTATTAGCCAAGGCAGGTAGCCAAGACAAAATGATCAGGTTTAAAAAAAAAGTCAGGGGCTAGAGAGATGACTCACTGATTAAGAGTCCTGAGTTCAGTTCTCAGCTCCCACATGGTAGCTAACAACCGTCTGTAATTCCATTTCTAGGGAATCTGATACTCTATTCTGGCCTCCATAGGCACTACACGGGTGTACTTATGTACATGCTGACTAAACACTCATAGACAGAAAATAAAAATAAATTTAAAAATATTTTAAAAAAGAAAATGTCATAAATCCAAAAACTTAACTATTACTTTATCTAGGACCTAGGGAAACAGAAATCATTCCAAGTCTAGAGTAGAGACAAGGAACACTGGCCTCAACAGAGACTCCAAGACATCAAACCTACAGCAAATGGGGTTAGGCATGAGAATCAGAAGCTTCCCCAGAAACCATCACCGAGAGAATGGAATTTAAGACTATGCTGCTCCTTTGTGACTGACGTCCCAGGGAGGCAGACAGAAAAGCTACATGGAGACTTCTACTGTAAAAAGCAGACACGCATGCATCTTGTCTAGCTGAGCAACACACACATGCTCTATCTCTAACAGGTCTATCTTTTAAAAGCACTTTCCTAAAGAATATAAGTTTTTCTGAAGCATCAGGAATTTCAATATGGAGAAATCTGAACTACTTTTAATTTCTATCCACATCTACCGCTTTCCTCTCTAAGATCAAGTAATGCCATTGAGCAATTTTTCTGTATAATGTCTTTGATGTGTGAACACTGTTCTACTTCTTAGGGACCTAGAAGCAATAAATCAGGCTTGTCTTTGCTCTCAGAAAACTGTGGAGGAGCAACATTATATACTGTAGTTATAAATGGGACCTATCGGCTAATCTAAGATAGGGGCTACTAAATGCAACATTCTAAAATATGTTTAGATAATGCTTGAATGATAAAACTGAGTAAAAATAGTTCTCTCAGTCAGAAGGGAAGAGAAAAGAGAGCAACAATTATCTTGAGTTAGGGCTGGGTATGGGATGGCAAGACAGGGAGGGAGGATCATGCTATCAGAACTTACTTTGGTGGCTTTAGGTCCCTGTGAATTAGAGCTTTGGGCTGCATGCTGTGCAGATAAGCCACTCCTTGAGAACACTGTAAACACCAACTCATCGCATGGGCAGCAGTGTAATATGGCAACGGTTCAGCACCATGCAGCACTGCAAAAAAAAGGCACAAACTAAAAAGAACTTTATTGCATATAACAAGACACAATAGGAATGCAACATTCTAAAATATGTTTAGATAAATAACTAAATGATAAAACTGAGTAAAAATAGATAGTTCTCTTGGTCAGAAGGGAAGAGAAAAGAGAACAATTACAATATCAGAACACAGGATTGGGTGTTTTTCCACAAACATTCTAATTAGTCCTGCTTTTAATTTTTTTCTAGATAAAAAAACAATGAATTTCTCAGTAATTTTTTAGTAGATTAACTGCCATATAGTCATTCAAATAAAATTAATACACACTACCATACTTTTAAGAAACTGTGCTATCTTTCACACAGTAACATAAACTGCAAGTAGTCCTATTCACTCTATGATAAGGAAGATACAGAGGAACAGCAGTGAAAGAAGATGGGCATATCAAGATGTTCACAACTATTCTGTGTATTACCGCTCAACACTACTAGTTTTCCCAAATAACAAGGGAGTTACTATATACCCATTAACAATGAGAAATATATGTGCATTGAATATAACTAAATCTTTATGTAAAATAATGTTAAAAATAAACGCAACAAATTTCATAAAACTGTAAGAGAAAATTCATGTATTTATGAGATCGGCACTTTTAGGGCGAGACAGCTTTGCTCTACAAAATTAATAATCAGTACACAAAGTTTTCTTTCATAGTAACAATTTAACATGTTCTGTGAAGGGAGTTTTCACTTATTTTATTTTAACTTAATTAAATGGCCTGGAATTCACTATGTAGACCAGGCTGGCCTCAATCTCACAGAGATCCACCTGCCTCTGCCTCCTGAGCTCTGGAACAAAAGCATGCTCTGCCATGTCTGGCCCACCATTTTATTTTTTGAAAAGAATGCAAAATAAAGCATGGTGAAATGAAGAACGGTCAGAGTTCTAAAATGAGGAGGCTAAAAGAGAACAGCAGGAAAAATGTCAACATATTTTAAAATCTACTTAAAAAGTACATGTTACTTCAAAGGCTTTTTAACAATACAATTATTAATTAAAACATTATGTTTTGCACACTAATGTTGTAGCATCTTTCTTGCCTTAAGTTTTTAATAGCATAAGAATAAAAAAGACTTCCTTTAGGAACTCTGCTGATAAACTGTGAAGAATACTAAAGTTCTACCATAAGCTTTTGAATTAGTTTAATCTATTAGCTAAAGACAGGTCTAAATGATACTAACCATTATATAAAGAGCCTCCTTCAGCATATTCCATCACAAGACACACCTAAAGGAAAAATATGCCAGAATTAACCAGAGCCATAACATATTAGGGCCCTGCAAAGATAAGTTAGTTCAACTGTCTGATTTCTAGATACATTAAAAATTGTTCTTTTGGTCACTACTGTGTGAATGACACTAAAGAGATATCTATGATCTAAGACCCTGTCTTCTAGGAGCTTGCTAAGAGTATGGATATATATCAAATCAGAATCACAAGACCTTTTGGGGACCTTCTCCAGTACTATCAATATCAAGTCTTATAACAAGGTAAGTTACTATGTAATTCAAGGTCAGCAAGAAGGAAAGACAGACAGAGAAAGGAGATACTGGATGACAGTAAAGGTTTTTAATTAGAATAAAAACCTGCAGAGGAGGGTTTCTAGTCTAGGAACCAGAGCTGGCTGTCTGCTTACAGGCTGGGATAGTTATCGAGCAGAAAAAGGGAAGGCGGAAGGAGATGAAAAGTTTCCTTTTAGGGTCCCCAGTTGACACACTGTTGGGGGTAGCTAAGGAAATAAAGTGAGTGGTAACATAAAAAATGTCAGGTGATCTCTCCTGCCAGCCATTACTGGGGGTCCACAGGGTAGGGAGGGCAAGAATCTAGAAAAACAAGTTATTTCAGTTCTGGAAACCGAATTATTTTAGTTTTGGGAACTGTCATTGTTTAAGAAGGAGGAGCTTTACAAATGGGGTGGCCATGGCTAACAGGTAAGAGTATCTAAGATAACTCCACCAATATAGTGCTTTGCTAAAAGATCAGAAATAATGAAGATGGGAAAGGGAACACTCACTGGATTCAAGCAGGCTCCATACAACTTTACAATATTAGGATGGTTCACACGGGATAACTGCCGGAGCTGTAAGAAATTAAGGAGTCTTAAAAAAAGTGCTAGTCTTTTAGGTACTAATTTTACCATGTTGCTAAAATCTTATGGTCATACAAAACATTTGTTTATAACATTCAACGATTATTATCTACCAGGTAGCAAGTACTATGGTCATAAGCAACAGACACATTCTGTACCTGCCCCAAACTGCAGTTTTCCAACAGTTCAAGTGAGAATACAGACATGATTAAACAAATTCAGAATACAGAAATAATTAAAGCAATGTACAAAAATGTTCTAACAGGATTTATGAACAAGCCAGGGTAAGTACATAGAAGACTCTAGTTGCCAAACAGGGCATTATCTCAGAGAGGGCTCTGAACTGAGTTCTCTACACCAGAAACCATCCTATTTGTGTCATCTTCAGAGCCATAGCCAAAAAAAAAAAAAAAAAAAAAAAAAAAAAAAAGACCATTTCTGCATATGGCCCTAGTTTTGCTTTATAAATATTATCTAATTATCACAATTCTGAATGGTAGATATTGTTACTTCTATTTTTAAATATGAGATTTTAAAGTTTTGCCCTAGAGAGGATTAAATTACTAATAAAAATCCTACAGCCATGAACTTGGTTTATCCAACTTGGAACTGCACACTTTTTCTGAATAGTTGCTTCCAATTCCATTGTGTCTTTTGTAATTTCCTCCTCTCATTCTCAGTGTCTTAAGTCCAGGGAGTACAGTTCAGTGGTGGAGCACTTGCTTAGCATGCCTGAGGCCCTAGGTTGAAGCCATAGAACAACCCAGGTCAATCTTTAATATGAAAGAGGGGGAAGAGGTAGGAGAGACAGACAGACAGATTCAGACTAACACTTTGACTTTCAGTTTTAATCTTCCCTGATCCGATAACTTACACTGAGGCCAGCAGAGGTTTTGGCTGTACGCACTTCCCTTGCTCTACGTGTCAAATTCCTATTAATGCATCTTTCCCACAAACAGCTTCTTGCTTTCCCTTTTTCTGCCTTTCCCTGCTCTTTATCTTCCTCTCCTCTACAAGTCATCATGCTGTTGGCGCATATGAAGCTCACTAGGGTCTCTTCAACCTCTTTACTAGATGCCATTACAGAGTCTGTTCCTCTAGTCAATATTTATGGATTTTTGGTCCTAACCAAAAACTAGCACAACTCTTTGCTATTATTTATTTATTATGTATAAATATACTGTAATATTTCACCTTGGTAAGACTCAGTATTAAGTTTCATAGAGATTACTGAAGCGTTTACTCCTGCTCCTTCTTTGAGCCTCATTAAGGTGGTGAAGTTTATTTATTTATTTATTATTTATTATTTATTTATTTATTTATTTATTTATTTAGCATAAACTCAGAAGATGAAGAGGTTTGAAATGAGACAATGCATTTTTGGAAGCTGACAAGCTAGTGACTATCATTAACAACCCAGTAGCCCTCTAAGAGCTGAATCGTAAGCTAGCAATGACACAACTGAGAAGCAACAACATTCAGTGCTCAAAACCCCAAGGACTGAGTAGTACCAGGAACCTATGTAAATGAGCTAATAAACAGGGATGGAATGGAAGTTCTAAGTCACACCCAAAGATTCCTTCCCAGAATCCAACAGCAACAACCACCTCCTCACATCCCAAAAGAAAACATGGTCAATTCTTTAGAAAGGACATAGAATCAGTAACTGAACTGAGGGGCACCAAACATTAATGAAGGGATAAGCTCTAAGAAGTGACCTCTGACAAGCAGAAGAGCAGACGGGAGGAGGTACGGGGATTCAAGTTCCATACTCATTAGTCTAGGCAAGTCATCTAACCCTCGATAGGCGTTAAACCCAGGGTCACCTGTATGCTAGGAAAACACTCTGCCACTGGTCAGGGTCATCTGTATGTAGTAAAGCACTCTACCACTGACCCATATTCCCAGCTTCACACTGACTCTTTAATAACTCCACAGAACCATCAACAGAAATTGTGACTAAATCAAGACTGAGACCAAACTTCTAGGGTGTACTACTAAAAATTATCTTCCTTTATCATGACATTATATTCATCACTGTTCCTCAACTAATTCAGCCAATTACAAATCACACCACCATTTCACAATTAAGTTTTCATTTCTCCATGTTAAACATTTAAAAAATATCAGTGAAGTACAGCCGGAGTTTTGACTAAATGAAAACAGATATAAATTGAGGTTCATAAACCACAGGCTTATCCATTGACCAAAGAGATCAAAAGGTATAAAAACATCAATTTAATCAACCATTGTGACTTCATATATAAAATAGTAAAGAATAAACCTAATAATATGATGTAATAATTATTATATTGTTTTCATTTATCATCCAATTTGTTAAAGAATCAAATTGTAAATTTGTATGTTAAATGAGAAAAACCAAATTTGGAATTATTTTTCCTTAACATAATCTCATTTGAACTTCTACTGATATTTAGTTAAAAATGAATGTATAAGGGCTAAAGAGATGTCTCTGACAGTATAGTACCTGCTGAGCAAGCATGAGGACTTGAGTTTAGACCTCTACATCTGCATAAAAAGCAAATATCTCTTTAATGGGGTTGGAAGGTAGGAGAGACACAGGAAGATTCAGAGGCTTAGTAGCCAGCTAGTCTAGCTAAAACAGCGAACTCCCGGTTCAATGAGAGACCCTGTCTCAAAAATATGGCAACGTGACCAAGTTAAAGAGAATCTGAGTTAAAGACATTGTACCTCTGGCTTCTGTATGCTCACAGGGTAAGCACACCCACATAGACATTTGCACATGTGTACACTTATACACACACACATGCACACAATGAATAAGAGTTCACTTCTTCATTTTAGATCATGGGAGAGAATACCATCTCCATTTCAAAATGAAAACACAATATCTTAAAATAGATTTGGAGCCCATGAAGGATAGTGCACTTTAATTCAGGGATAATTCTGTGTAAACATAGTTTCTTTTCCCCTAATTTTTAAACAGAATTAAAAATGAAAGAGGAAAAAAATGTCCCTATGGTACTACCTATAGTTCAACCAAATTGTCGAGGCTCTTGTACATAGAAAAATGAAAATTGGGAAACAACATCTTTTATAATCTTAAATTCAGGGTATCTCAGGTAAAGAATTAATGGACATCTCAACTTACCTCTACAATGAAAGCTTTCCTCTCAGATTCACTCTCTATCTGTTTAATAGCGACATCTTTTGCTCTCCACTTAGCTTTGCAAACTACTCCAAAGGCTCCTCTTCCAACAACCTGAGTTAAAGAGAAACCCACAAGAATCAGAAGCAAACAGATACCATACAGCATATAACCCTGAAGCCACGCTTGAAGTCTTATTAAAGAAGATTTAGAAATTATTATTACCAGAATTTGCTACTAAGAATGGATTTTTTCATTAACAGGAGATAATGACTGCACTGTTTTTGAAATAAACCTTTACATTCCCCAGTAAAATCAGAAACAGAAAAGATACTGGAGACATAAAGCAACTTCTTAATCAAAGAAAAAAATTAAAGCAAGATGGATGAGTAGAGAAGATCGCTCAGAAAAAGTAGGGAACATAGATGACATTTTAAGCTATCATATTTAAGAAAGTAAAAGCTAATAGGAAAAAGAAGGGGAAAGGTTAAAAATATACATGATAGAGGCAGGAGAGAGCACTTGTTCTTGCAGAGGACTTGGATTTGGTTTCCAATACCTACATGGAGGCTAACAACTCCAGCTCTGCCGTCTTCTGGCCTCCACATACAATGCATGCATATGGTACACTTATATGCAGGCTTATATATTTTTTTTAAGATAAAGAATATATGTGATAAAAGGCTGTCAAAAGTAGGACAGATAAAAGGTGGCATTATCTGTAGAAAAGAACACTGTTCAGCAAGAAAAAGAAAACTTATGGATACACATTAACAATACAGATAAATCTCAAAAATATTATGCTAAGTAAAAGAGGTCAGACTCTTGATACCACAGATTATATGGTTTGTTTACACGTGCTTAGGAAAGAAACATCCACAGAGACAGTAAGCAGATGAGTGGCTGTCGAGTGCTGAGGACGACAATTAGTGTAAATGGGTCACAGGTATCTTACTTACACGTCTGAAAGCTGACTGGCTGTGCTGGATGATGACCTAGCAAAAGTCACTGAGTCACACTTTAGTATTTTATTTATTATGTATTATTTAGTATTTTATTTATTATTATTTTCTATTTTATGTATATGTGTGCATTGCCTGCATGTATGCAAGTGCACCTGTGTGCACTTGCATGCAATGCTTGCAGAGGACAGAAGAGGGCGTTGGATCTCCTGGAACTGGAGTTACAGATGGCTGTTAGTGGCCATGTACCTATTGTATTCAAACCCACATCTGCAAGAACAACCATGCTCTTAACCGATGAGCCATCTCTCCAGCCCCTGAATCACACTTTAAATGAGTGATTTTTATCATAGGTAAAAAATATTACCTTTAAGAAGTTAGAAAAATACAGATTATTGCTGAAACTAATGGCTATCACATGTCCACTGCTCTGTCAAGTGGCTCTATTTTTATAAATATTTGAAATTTCCATGCTATAAAATAACAATAGAACAAAAAAATTAGTTTGATACCTATTAGAACAAAGTCATTAGACTATATTACTGTGAAGGCCTTAATTAAGCATTGTCTACTCCAATCTCCCAACTGCCAAGTGCTATGTCAAGGGCCGTTACTTAAACAAAAATCTATTTCCACTTACTACACTTTTATGCACTTTTTACTATTAGGTGCTGAGTTCAGTGCTTTACACATACTGCCTCATTACACAGCTTTAGGAAGAAGGCACTAATGCTATTCTTATTTTACAGATGAAGCATTTAGCTTTAAAGAAGCAAACTAACTTTCTCATAGGCACACAGGAAACAAACAGTAGAGTACAGTTTAATGGTAAGCAGTCTAACAACAGAATGCTTGTGGGTCTAATTTTTAACACACGTAACGCCTTTCAAATACCAGAAATCAGTTATGTGGTCTCCTGGAAGAAACCACACTTTAGACAAACTGATATAAAATGAAGTTGACTGTAGCTAAAGTTATCAAATGATTTAAAAAAAAAATCTACATTGGGACATTTCAGGGTAAAAAAGGGGGGAACTACCTAATAACTACAGCAAGACAGTAATTGTTATCTTGGCTGTATGGTCATTCTGGTCGTGGCTCCAATTCTATTTCATAAGTCATATAAAACAGTGTGAATACTTCTCATATTGAATATTTACCATGTGCAAGATACTGTTCTGTGTATTTTTTATGCATTACCACATTTACTCCTTCTCCATTTTAAAGGTAAGCAAACAGTCACAGGGTTGCTACTTACCCAAAATCACACAGTAAGAAAGTCTTCAGAGAAGGCAGAACTGATAATTATGAACATATGATACACTCAGCTTGTTTGCATTTGCCTTAAAGGAAACTAGGCTTCACCAGGCACAATTCCAAGTAGGCCACTATTCTCTGGTAATAAGCTTTCCTTTGCTGACTTTTTCTTTTATGCTTCCTAGCTCTGGACACTCAGAGCTAGTCTGATGTCTATACTCTTGTTCTCCACACCTCCACAAGAACAAGAAGCCAACATTAGTTATTTATACTTGTCATCCAGTTACTTTAATAGGAATAGGCTATTGGCTTGAGTTTTGAACATAGTCTGTCTACCTACAAGCTCTTATTGCTAGGCAAATTAATGTTTAAGCTTTCTTCTCAACAGTAAACCAGAGATGCTTTCATTTTTCTTAGTGGACATCTACAGTTAATAAGTTCATTAAGTGTATTTATAGGGTTCATAAATCAGCTATTTCTGTAAATACTACAAAACACTAAATGCTTGCAGCTGGGTTGAAATCAATGTAAAGGCGCTTGTAGCACTCATTTCTCACAGTAAATTAGAAGCAAACAGCGAAAAACTTTGAACTTTAAGGTCACATTAAACTAGAAAATATATATAAACCAGCCTATCTACTGATATCATTATTAACCATGAATGAATGACTGTAAAGCAATTTAAGACATTCTGCAACCACGTACCTACAAATGTATCAAAGTGACTAGGACTTTAGTAGGGCTTCCTATTTGATCTCTGTATTCTGAAGAATGTCGGATAGCAAATATTATCTGTATTTGTGGATCATGCGGATGCCACAAAAACCGTGTTGAGTATTCGTGACTATCTGTGATCCACAAGTGCCACCTAGTGATGAGATAGATGATGACTGACTGAGCGTCCAATTCAAAACCACGGGAACAAAATGTGGGCAAATGAAGACAGGATAAACCTCTCTTTTGCTGTGAGAAAGCAACTTTTCAGAAAAATCTGAAATAAGAGTCACATTCACAGCTGAGAACCCATGGCCTCAAATAGTCTTCATTCTCATTAGAATCAAGACACTTTATCTTATAGTGAATAACAGGATCTAAAATGGTAACAGAGAAAGGCAAGAATTAAGGGTGTATACATTAAAATATATAACAGAAATAAATGCTGTGACTTCACAGCAGCAAGTTTATAAGCATGTAATCAGTGCTTAAAGACTTTATAAAATAAAGACTTCATTTTTTTCATAAGGCATTAATACAGAGAGATGGGAATAAAAAAATTATACACAGACTTGACCTTTACTTTTGTGAGATGAAAGTGAGGTAGGAAAGAAATCCAAGACCACACAATAATATTACTTTTATTTTATCTAACAATTTTAAGAAGATTTTTTAAATTCATTTTTATTTTATGTGTACAAGCATTTTGCCTGCATGTATATGGCTATGGGGCTAGAAGAAGGTGTCAGATCCCTGAACTGGAATCACAGACTGTTGTTAGCTGCCATGTGGGTGCTGGGAACTGAACTGCACTCTGCAAGAACAGCCACTGCTCTTAACCACTGAGCCATCTCTCCAGCCCCTTAACAATTTTTTTTTTTTTTTAAGTAGCTTAAGATGTCAAAAGTAAGCACTCATAAAGGAATCTAAAGACCCCACTAGCCTCCCTTTCCAGGACAGGCTTAGGAATTCAATGGCAGAAAAGACTACACCTTCCTCGTCAACACTTCTCACATAGAGTACCAGGAGCAGGCTGCCTCCTCACAGAATGTGTTTCAAAAGCACTGGCAGCTACAAAAGCGTAAGAAGAGTGGCAAGGAACACTCCCCCACCTTCTCTGGCCCTAGTAGAACATGGAAGTGATTTCAAAACATTCTTGCAACAAGAAGAGCAAGGTAAGTAAGATGAAAGACTTTGACCACAAGGAGGCTACTGCAGGGCAGAGGTTGGGACCTGAAGTGGAATGACAGCTGCTCAAAGACAGGCCCTATTGCAGAGCTCAGCTGAATTTTTGAGACTCAGTGAAAGTCAAGAGGAAGGCCTAGTCAGAAAGCAGGGAGAAAGGGCTCCTTTGTCTACTGGCAAAAGTGAGACTTTATGCCAAAAGAATGGTAAACTACATTTCTTTACTGCTCAAACCAAGACTTCCTGAATGCCTACTAGATCCAGCTACTGTTTTATATAGAAATATAAAGAAGCAAAGACGGTTTGATCTACATGGAACACACTTCCTGATGTATGGAGGGAAGGGAGAAGGAGAAAAGACAATCAAAGCACAGACTGAAAAACCTAGGGCGGGAGAGGTCCTAGGCCTTAGGGAGGAGCAGAAGATTGTCCTTTAGCTAAACTCACATAACGTCAAACTGCCTTATATTCCCAGCATTTATCAGGGAAGCCTCTCTTTGCAGTGAAAGGTGGTGTCGAGAGCTCGGGAAACATTAGGAACGGGGTGGAAAGAATGGAAGAGCCAGAAAATTGGGAGGAGGCTGGGAAATGCCATCTTCTGGGCAAAACACAACCACTACAATCATGAACTCACAGCAGTGGTAAATGCCTCCTTGAGAATGGATCTGTCAAGCATCAGGCATAGGTGAAGGGAGGGCTCAGAGGACCCTACTCCTAACTATTTGCTACTGATAAGATTCAGGGAAAGGGAGAGTCAGTGCCTTCAGTTACATACCCAGTGGTGACCCCACTAGACTCCAAGGGATAGTTCCAATCCAGTGGTCACAGATAGCTGTGGTTAGAATAAACAGGTCACAAAACAAAACAAAAAGTCATGAATCTTGGAAAAGGACTAGTAGAGAGAAGGTTGATAGGGATGAGAGGGAGATGAGGAAGGTGTAAACAGAGAAATCAGAATGCATCATAGACACATATAAAATTGTCAAAGAGCAAACA